TGTGTGTATGGTATAGTATAAAAAATATTTGAGAAATCAAAAGCACACATTGTATAAAATATATGTTAAAACATTTATATTAAAATACATAGCATATAAAATATACATTATACAAATTCTAAATTGGAATTAATAACTAGAATTTTAAAATTATAAAACATAAATTAATCGACGTAAAAAAAAAAATTATAAATTTTAAAATTGTAAGACATAAATTCAATAGAAAATTAGAAATGTGAAAAATTATAAAACAAATTTAGTAAAACATAATACATAGAATACTAAAAATTATGTATGTTATAAATTAAAATAGATAATAAATTATAAATTTTAAAAATAAATTTAATAAACAATTTTATCCCCAAGCTTATGCAGATTATAGATCAAGCTTGTCCAACACTTCGCTCCTAAACTAAACGCTTTCCACACTGCTCCATCATCTCGTTGAGCGAGACAGAAGGAAAACAAGAAAAAAAGACGCTAAGCGACGCTAGAGCTCTAGCGCGTCTATTCTTTTTAATTTTCTCTCCGTCTCGCTCAACGATGGAAAAGTGGAAGCGTTTAGCTCGCGAGCGAAGTGTTGAACAGGCCCGCTGTATGTACATACATCGTCTAACAAGACTTAACGAAAGAGAGCGTGAAAAGTGCGATTATAATTTATACCTCCAATTGTGAGTGAATCGATGAGTAACCGGTCGCGAATCAAATATGGCGAACATCGACGCCGAGCGACGCTGACGGCAAATTCTCGTAGTAATGCGGCTGGCAGCGATCGACTGTGTGTGCTCCGATCACTTTATGCGCGCGGTTGAAAAGAGATACGGCGAATTTCAGCGCGAGCCGGGGAATCGCGCGACGCGTTGATAGTAAACCGCGAATCGTGCGTCGCGTCGTAAACTCAAACGAGCCGGACGTTATCGCCGTAATATACACCTTGCTATCGTCGCTCTAAACGATTGCCGAACGAGTTCCCGATGGCTCGCCCCCTCCCCCTCTACCCCTCCGACGTCCGATTCGCGGCGTCACCGTCCATGCAGTTACGCAGGACGAGGACCTGTGCGGGCCACGCGGGTTATGACCGCGATTGATCGCGATCGCGACGTGTTAATGGACGCCAATAATCGTCCGACACTCGACGACCGACGGCAATCAATCGAACTCTGGCTCGTCGCCGGCACGCGTAAACTCACTTCCGACAACGATACAAATCGTCGGGTCGCGAAAAGACTGCCGGGACACCCGATTTGTAACGCCGTGAAACTACCGCCGCGGAGCGATACGACGCAAAGATGGCGGGCTTGAGGTGAGGAGTGGCGCCAAGGAAGACAGATGGCGCGAGCGGCTAGGAAAGCGCCTGAGAAATAAAATCCCGCGCGGCCCGCGTGACGGCTGACGGATAAGTGAGGTTTGCACGCTTTTTTACTAGCAACTAACATACTAGTTTTTTTTTTAATTTTTACGCAAACTTAAAATAGACATGTGTTTTATATAAAAAAACAGAACATATAATCTATATTCTATCATTAAAGCTTATTTTTATATATTCCTTAATGATTAAAAAACCTGGAAAAAAGGTTCCACATATATATATTATATGCAAAATGTCCATATATGTTTCTTTCCTTTGTAAAATTATTCTTTAATACAAAATTGATAATAATAAGGAAACATAAAAAATAATTAAAAGAATAATTTTACAAAGGAAAGAAACATATGTGGACATATTTTGCATATAATTATATATAATTATATGTGGAACTTTTTTCCCAGGGAAAGAGAAAAATAAAAATCTCGTCAACGATTTGAAAAGAATCAACTTGAGTCCAATCGAATTAGTCATTAATTTGGATAGAAAAGTAGTTTGCCAAATCTGAAATATTATATATGCTGTGCGAAAACAGAAATGAACGCGTTGTACGTTGAAATATATAGTCGTTCGAATATTAATGCGAGATTAATTATTTATTAATACGTAATATTGTTTAATATAGCGTCATTTAATTGTCGCCAATCAATTTAATATTTTACTGGACGTGTATGGGGAGTGGCAGTTATATATATTCGCGCGATATATAATTAACGCTTCGTCGATACAATCTATCGTCACTCCGCTGGCACGACGCGAACGTGTAAAACGTTCCGAGACCTGTAAAGTTACCCCGTTGATGAAAATTGTTGCACAATCATTTAATGTCTTTCTAACGTATTTTAACATATCTTAATACAGAACCAGTATTCTTTTTAATCATTATCGCGACATTTGTTCTCGCGGGTCTCAGATATTCCTGACACGTGCGACACTCCATCGACGTTCCGAGACACGGAAAATTACCGCGTTGATATTAATTAATGATTGTTGCACAATCATTTAATGTCTTTCTAACGTATTTTAACATATTTTAATACAAAACCAATTTTTCTTAATCATTACCGAGCGACATTTGTTCTCGTAAATCGCTGCAGATATTCGTGACAATCGTGATACGCAATACGCTTCATCGAATTGCACGTGTTCCTTTTTTTTTAGAGATTCTGTAAAGATAATATCGAATGACGTGTAAATGCAGTTAAAAAAATAAACTGGTGAATAAATTTGTATCTTAATGACCGTCTGAGTGTACAACGATGAATATATCGGTAGGATCTCAGAGATCGTTGTCGGTTTGCGAACGTTTAGATGAATTCACTTACAGACGTTTTGAAAATATGCCCCGGGGCAGCGCTTAGTGAACTTTACTCGACGTCTGGTCGAGATCATTTTTTTCCTTGGGGGATGAATCATCGATGCTCTCTCTTGTCGCAAACACGAAAACATAAACTCGTATTGTACATTGCGTATTTGTACATATATCCATAGACAATTGCCTACAAAACAATTTATATTATCATTATTGTTTCACTCAAGAAACTGTTTTATTACGCTTATTTTTTTAATTTTTACTAAATATAATAATAATGATAAAAATCGCTGAAAGCAAAATGTGGTTAAGAGAAATGGCCGAATGCCAATTGTCCCGTATTGCCTATCAAATCATCGCTTTTTCGAATATCTATTATATTTACGTTACATCCGCTCTTTAAAAACCAACAAATTTTTGATTAATTATTAATACATTGCTATTAAATCTGTCAATAATTATATAACGACATGAATTTCAAATTCTCTCTGCCGTTATTATTTCTTAATATCTCAACGTGTTGTTTAAAGCAATCACGTGGTGCTCGTTAACAATGCGCCGGAACGCGATAAACGCGATTAATCTCGCGGATCTTGCGAACGATCCAATATCGTAATTAAAGAGTCACCGCCTCTGTGCGTACCTGTAATTATTGCCCGACATCCCCGCCGATTGAAATGCGACGATAGCATCGGCGCGGTGCTGTGGGCTACCGAACGTTAAACGTATACGTTATAAATTTGCGGTCGAGATTATGTGAAAAGCGCTGTGACACGCGCGATAAACTGTTATAAGGGAGACGTCGCGGCTGCGTGATGGGTGGATTTATTGCGCTCGTGCGGCTATAATTGCGTTTTAATATATTTTCGTCTTTATATTATATTGCTAAAGAGAAACTTGTACTTCATTTTTCGTTTCTTAAAAAATGAAAAAAAATATATATAGATATATTTGTTTACTGACGAAATTCCAATCGCCAGTATTATTTCCTTTTGAAACTTGCTCATTAATTTCTTCGCAATATCTCATAAATCTCATTCATCCTTGTAAACTTGGCTGCTTTACAGGAGAGCCGCGTCGAATTTTTTCTTCGTCATTTCAGTGGGATTTTCACAAAGGGTGTACGAGTATACACACATATACCGGGGAATCACTCTCTGTCGAGTTATATGCTTCATTTGCAAGTTGCCTTTTTTTTCCTCATTTTTCGACATTTTTTAATATTCATATGTGTAAATTTTCTCGCCTCGACTGCTACCTATGGGGCTTGATTATACGCCCGTGAATACTTTTCGATCGACCAGCAGTAACATCGCAATAATAGGCATGCATCAACTCTCAGGTTTAGCCGTACGAGAAATACGAGAATTGAATGCACATATATGTATATTATACGTTATGCATTATACAAATTCAAACGCGCATACGATAAACATCACTAATTACAATGCTTGTGAAGTATTTCTTGATAGACGTTATGAGTTGTGCGAAAAAAAAAGGCCGTGAAAGAGAGAAGGTATGTATGTACATACGTCCGAGGAATCGCTATCTTTAGCTAGGTTCAAGTTGAATTAAAATAACAGCTTTCCAGAAATAGAAAGGTTCATTTCTTTTACATATTGTTGAGTAAAATTACAAGTAAAAAATTACAAGTATATTACCCAAGGTGACTTGAAAATATTATTCTTAACAATGCGATAAAATAACTCGTTCTATTATTATAGCATGTAATTATAGAACAATAACATGTGCAAACTCGACGATGATTGCAAATATATTGCACTTTCGACTTATAGAAACAAAGGCATGAAATGTACGAAGAAAAACTTCGAGCAATTCCGAGCGCACAGAAGATTGAATTGTCAAAATCGAAATCTGATTTCTATAATTAATTTGGCCGTTATATTCATATTTTTAAGCATGCTCATTATTATTACGGTACTATCAAACGATCGAAGTTTTTTAATTATCTCCAGTTAAAATATCCACGATACAATTTACTTGTGTTGTGATACAGCTTAACACCAGAAATGCATTTAAAATGTTACATAATCCTTACAATACTTACATTTTACTGTCTAATCGTCGGAAGTGGAAGTTACTCATTATAGTCTACGTCTACGTGACTAGTTCATGGACTTTAAACATTTAACAACTGTCAGTTAGAAACGTGGTTAAAAATTTAATACTGCTAATAATTACTTTAGTGCTTTATAAAAATATATGTGCGTTAATTTGGGCACAGTAATTTTATCTCTAGCAAAAATTCTATTGACCTAACCTAATGCGTCGAAAATGGACAGAATAAGCGAAACGAAAATCTTGATTAAAAATAGAAAGGTAATTATTTTATTAAAAATATTTTATATATACACGCATCACGTATATGTATGGCATACTTTTGCATTACAAGGATTATTTGCATGTAGTAATATACAATGAAATTACATAAGTTCAGAGCTACATCGTCTACGCACACTATATGACTTTTAATTGTGATATGCCAAAGTCAGCAAGCAGCTTATTTCGTAATCTTCGATGGTATGTCGAAGCATATAATTCTATCATTTCCTTCTCGTAATGCGTAACGTACCAGCACAGAAATCTGTAAATATGAGAAATATTTGTTACAACCGGCTAAAATCAACTGGTTACGAAAGAAATAATTTGCGCATAATTAAAAAAGTGAACTGTATACTCATTGTCAAGGTGTCCTTAACATGATTGGCTTGCGTTATTAGTCAACGTTACATTATAGGGTACAGCGGGGTAATTTGGATAATAGTAAGCATTTGCAAGAATTTCAGAAAAATAAAAAATTTTAAGATACATTTCATTATATCAATATCTGATATAATATTATAAAATGTATCTTAAAATCTCTTATTTTTCTGAAATTCTTCATGCAAATGCTTACTATTATCCAAATTACCCCACTATTCAAATTACCCCGCTGTACCCTATGCATTTTTTGCAGTATTATATATTTAATTATTAACAACTTAATGAGTTTTCTCTCAAAAAGTTTGCAAGATTACCCTGGGATATATCGACAGCACGGGAAAACTGTTTCTGTATAGATATTCGCCGCCTTGTTTCAAGGGGCAACCAGCTTTGCTACCATCGGCGTTGTAAATATTATCGCAGGCGTTTGTTCCATCGACTCCGATGAAGGGCAAGGGTACGCCAGAAATAAGTGCTTTCACATCATTACTCAAGCCCTGAATTTCTCGGTTAGGCACGAGTCTGACCTCGATGACGACAGTCGTTCCCTGTTTCAATAAACACTCAGGTTTGTCGCAGCCGGATACGCTGACTTGACTGGGATCCGCGAACGGGGTATCTAAAACCATAAATTGTAAATGAGTCTATGTAAATTGTAAGTGAACAACAACATAACGCAACTACATGACTGCAACATATGTTGTGAATATAATTTGCGCCCGTATTTTCGCATTCGATTACATAAGTCACAAATACATTAGTCAGACCATATGAATATTTTATTTACAAGAGGCTGTAATTTGATATTAAAGTAATATTCAGACCATATGAATATTTTATTTACAAGAGGCTATAATTTGATATTAAAGTAATATTGCACACGTTTTTTTGTTCGAAAAATACACGTTCATACGCTTGAGTAAAAAAAAAAGAATGAATGATAACAAAAAATTTGACGACTTGGAGGTTTCACCTTCAAAAGGTGATCGCCTTGAGAGACTTGATTTTCCTCAGCGAGACTCAAAATCGTTGTCTGAGAACGTAACGTAAGAGAAAGTAATGAATATGAAAGTGAATGTACATTGTTCAATTGTCATATTTGCATTGTAATAGATTTAGTTAACGATTAATTCTCAAGAATTTTAAAAATTTTATCAGACATTGGTGGAAATAAATTTTTATTAAAGTGCTGAATTAATACAATCTTAAAGCAGACAAGATAGCATAAAAACGATTAATCGAGACATTGATAATAAGTAGTTTTCCTCTACGTAAGTCTTCGGTTTGTAGAGAGTGTTGTGGAAAAAAAAGTAAGTTTATTTACTAGTTGGAAGGCAATGATATGTTTGTTTTTCACGATCATGACTGTATCCACAACTGAAGGTCATTGCTAAAATGACTAATCAGCCGGCCAGCAAAAAATTCTAGACAATAAAAGTGAATATAAATCGAATACTCACGCATGAACGTGACATGCGCGATTTTAATTCTTGTCATTTTTTATAAGAACGATCTTTTTGTGACTGATCCAGTTAAAAGTGTGTAGTGAGTCAAAAGAAAAATTTCAGCTGAAAGCATCGTTCGGTACAAATATATTTTATTATTACAAAACGTGCGTGCGCGTTGGAACGAACGTGTTATCAGAGCAAAATAGACGATATGTGTATATGACGCATTTAGTGTCAGTAGCACAATATATTTTTCGTTATACTAACGTCTAAAAAGCTACTTTCTAAAAGTGAATCGGGAATCATCACCGATTTTCAATGTACTTAAAATTGTGATAAACAGTGAGTATTTAATTTCTTTTAGTGATAATATACTGAAAAATCAGTGATGATTCCACTAATTCAATTTTAGAGAGTACAGTTACAATTCTCTAACGGTGTTCACAAATCGGTCAGTCTATACTCCATATATTCTTTCCCATTGACTTCGTTCTCGGCGCTTCGAAAATATCCACAAAGAGATTTTACTCGAAAAAAAATATACGAATCGAAATATTTATATACTCCCATCGACGCGAAGTTTCTAGTTTGAAATTCTAACGTCGAAACATATTGATCGTAAATAAACGCGCACACGTTAGTATTCCGTTCGTCACTTTCACCGTGTGCTGTCAATTACGTTTCTTATATGTAATTATGTAGGTATTAATAACTGCAGCTCGTTGCCTCGTTCACATTGTATCTCCAACAATTAGCGGTTATTAAGCGCATCATACAGTAATAAAATTACGATAACTAATTATAGCCTTTGCCATGAGCATGAGAAGCAATCTTCGACATAATTGCTCGATGCTCAACTCGCGTGATAATTTTAAAAATGATCTTGTCTCTGATAATCTCTAAAGAAAAAACTCGACTTTGTTCGGTTACGGATAATACCTACCGACAGATATTCGTACGATATTTGGACCAATTTAACAAGACGATATTAATATGTTTGACAATACGCAACATTTGTCGTAAAAAGAATTTTATAATAAATATCGAAAATTGTTTCGCAACAATTCCTCATTGCATATATGTATATGTATATATATATATAATTAATAATTATATATAAATAATTCATTTTAAATGTTTCGAAATACAGTCAGCAAAGCAGGATACTCAATTATATTACATATAAGACAGCAATGTTTGTGTGTTCTGTTGTATTTATTTTGCGTGACTAGCTCGAATTATAACGATGTTGAAACGAAAATATCAGTCGTCCTCGAACGTGGAGAGAAGAAACAAGAAGCTCTTGAAACATTATGCACTCTACAAATTATCGAAAATCTCGTCTAAGTCTGAAACTTACTCATTTGTAATTTTTATTACTAAAAAATAAATAATAGCAATTAAATATGAAATAACAATAAGATATGCAATTTAACTGGAATATAGGTATGTGTGGTGTCCGTCTGATGTACTACTTTTATATTTGCCTTAACGACGGACTTTGATTATAAGATTCTTTTATTTTCCTTTCTATTTTTATCTCTACTTTTATCTCTGTTTATTGATTTTTGAGTACTTTTCGTCAGACATTATAGATAATTGTCATTACTTACTAATTCTTCTAGAGATAAAACATATCAAATTTTTGATAAAACTCACGTTCCTGTTTAAGAGTTAAAATGACATGTTTGTTCTTCTTGAAAACTTAAAAAGAAAATATTTACATACTTCTTATATACTTCTAACATTTTTGAGATTACGATTAGAAAAATGTGATATACTTTGGTCGAATGTTTTAGAAACGCTTTGTATAATAAAATTTTAACGCGATGTAGCGTGATGAGAAAGTTTCACAAAGGTACTCAACGATATCGACAGATTCTCTCGCGTAAAGAGAAGCAGTTTTAATTTTAAAATACGCATCTGAAGTCTGTGACTTTTCTAGTGACATCAAAAGCTGTTAAGACGATCATGGTTCTCAGTACGTTTAAAAGTAAATTTTATAATTATTTTCGTAAATCTTTTTATAACACGCTTTATCTGTAGAAAATAAATTCTTTCTCGCATGTATTTGAAATGACAGTTTTATCGTTGATTGATTAATTATAATCCAGCAAATTTTCGTTTATCAATCCGTTTATATGTATTTACGTAATGCTACGTGAATAATAAATAAATTAACTTAAAAATTGAAGAAAGAAAAATTAATTATTATTTTGCTGAAACAATCTGCATTTCAAATATGATTTAGGAGAAATTAAAAACTATTTTTTAATAAGCTAATATATTTTTCATAATATTTGTATATTTCTGCGATTTTTTACGTACCAGAATCACATTGATAAACTTCCGTGGCACCGGCGAACACGACGAGCGCCGCGAAAACGAGAAACGTTTCCCTCAGCATCTCGGTGAAAGTGCTTCTGCTTTTCCCGTTCAAGAAACCTCGTCAAAGTGCTGTGGGTCTGATCAGACCCAACTCCGGCTCTCGACTGACGACTGTAGTCGGAACGCGGTCACAGGTGCCTACTAGTGATTCGTTCGTCAAACTCCTGCTATAGGTGTACCTCACCAAGGAAGGGGAGAAGGAAACAACATATCGAAGTCCACATAAAGTAATTCGCATGTTGAGTTAAAAAAAAAGATCAAGCCTTTGTTACCTCTTTGCAGAAGATAATTTACATCTAAAACAATCAGCTTAAATATATATATTTGCGGAAATCAATCAGAATAAAAATGAGTGGAAACATACTTAAAAGGAAGCAGAATTGCTGCCACGATAAACAGATGTTGATAAGTTAATTTATAAGAAAATTATTAAACCTAATAATAAATATTTTCAAAATTTTATTAGTAGAGATATCAGATAACACGTATATTAATGTAAAAGTCTTAAAATAATTCTCAATGTATTAATTATTATTATTAAGTATTAAGCACATATTAATTTTTTATTTGATTATTTATTTATAGTAGTACTTGTTTTTTTCTTACTTGAATTACATATATGTATATGTTACACAACATAGAACATTTAATAAATTTACATTTAAACTAACGACTGGCCTGGAAAAAATAAAAGAAGAATTTAAAGATTTCAAACTTAAATTGTTGATACATGTATCTTTACCTATCAGTTTGTAATTATGTAGCTAATAATAACGTATATCTGCTCAAGATACGTTATTATTAGCTAGTTAGATACGTTATTATTAGTTATTATCTGCTTAATACTTCAAAATTATAATGTAGCTAATAATAACGAAGTTTAATACTAAAAAACGCTTTACAATACTTTACAGTACTTTCACGAACATGTGATATTTATTTAATAATTCCGTTTCGTGAACATATTATATCTAATGAAGACGTTTGTTTTACAACAGAGATAAATATTGGCTTGTAAAGAGAGTTACAGCTATAATAAACATAAATTCGTCTTATTTGCGCGTTTGATGCAAATAAATTATATAAAAATGTATAACAACTTAATTATATTAGTTATTAGTATTTATTATTAGAAATTAATTATTAACATTTATATAAATATGTAACCACATAATGTTGTTTATCTTACCAATCTAAAGTTTTCAGTTTCGATAAGATTACTATTTACTATGCAAATTGCAGATCAAAGGTTATCATACATATATTAAAATTATTATATTTTTTTTATTTTAATTTGCAGTAACAAGCTATTTTTATACGCATATGATACCTTTGACTATATAAGTATGGACTGATAGTAATTAACTTCACACGTGTCGCTAAGTTGGAAGATATAAACTCCACCACAGTTAGTAATTTTCTGCGGGGATGGGGAAGGCTCTTGTGAAATCAGTGTGTTTATGACGTATAAAGGAAATATACTGAATCTGTTTTTACGATAATTACGAATCTTCACGAGATTACGAATCTGTTTTACTAAAAAATTATGCAAGATCAACAAGATTTGTAGCTGGAAAATGTTTTCAAACACAATTTATGTTCATTCTTCATTCTTGTTATCAAATATGTTTGGCACAATTTTAATGTCGTTACAATTAAATTGCACCGTGAAAATAACGATGAAATTAATATTTGTTTAAAAAAATACTTTCTATTATTTTTCATAACGCTTTTTTAAAAACCGAATTGGCAGTTTTGCGCATTATTAGAGTATTGACATTTAAATATTATGATTAATATTCTGCGACTAATCATCGATTGTCGCGTTTAAATACGTGCGATAAATAACTCAGCAATCATAGCGCGCAAAAGTTCCACGCTTTAAACGTAACTCGCAGCGGTCTTCATAATGTTTGATTCCTCCTTTTTTCTGAACTTCGTTTCGTTTACCTCGGCACAACGAAACGGAAATGAAACGGACCACCATGGTCACAAGAACAAAGCACCGGAAATTAAGAATCTCTGTCCACCATCTCGTCCCTTTCCTTCTCAGTTTCTCCCTTCTCCTCTCCCCCTTTCTCTCTCTCTCTCTCTCTCTCTCTCTCTTTCTCTCTTTCTCTTTCTCTGCGACTGGATGAGCCTCCTTATTTTCAATGGCAAACGAGGATCTCGATTAAGTTCCGTAAACCGTGTGTATACTCTTGAAATTATTGCCACGTCGGCATCATATCGGACAATGTATCTCGTTGAAACTCGGCATAGCTGAAGCGGAAGAGTCCTACGTAATATCACACGAGCTCGCTCCCAAACGTGCTTCGCTATACGCTTGATAAATAATCAGACAAGAACAACGGTCTGCTTTTTTTTCTTTTTCTTTACGTAATATATATTTTATAACTAATATTTTACAAATGTGAACCACGATGTACTATAATCTTTAGTCTAGAGACAGTATAACACCGATCGTGGTTCGCATTTGCAAAATATTAGTTTTAAAACCTATAAAAAAAAAGTGTCGCAACCGATCTGTCCATGACAAAAAAAATATGTGCGTGAAACTGGCGATATAAGAAAAATAATCGTAATCGGATTTTCCAGGTGCGTAAATATCATAATCATTGTGTAGATAATCGGAATTTCTGGCGCGGACAAGAAATTTGTCGTTGCTTGATTTATGCTCGTGATATCACCATGTCAAAGTTAACACATTGACTTTATAATGTCTCCGTTCTTGGAAAATTGCCTTGCACGAGAAATAATAACATCGAATATGCATGCAAATCCAATCCCCTCCGTATGCGGTTTGGTGACTAATGAAAAGCTTTCAGAAACAGTAAAACGGCTCTCTTACACGTCAAATAGCCTAGTAAAACACCGCCGTGAGATAGTGTAATAAAACGCCGCAACGTTATTTTGTGTAATACGTACACATATATATGTTTCACGAAATAGAAGGTAACGTTGATTGTGCGGTGCTACCGCGAATTATCTTGTTGAGTCAACATAATGATCTGGATGAGTCAGAGGGCAATTATGAAATTTTTCTGAAATTGTTCCTGCGTGACGATGAACGTTTCTGTCCTTTTTGTAGTTGGCTAAAAGTTATTAAATGTACAATTCATCTTCTACTACTGCAGTTAATCTTCAATTACAATTTGCTCAAGTATCTCGAAAGTAAAATGAACCTGAAGGATAAAAGGTTTAAAAAGGATTTTCGCACAAAAGATTCCGTGGGATAGATCACTTCGATTGCAAAAATTGCAGCGATTTGTAATATTGCATATTGCATGATTTGTATATTGCATAGAAATAATTGCCCCGTTCAAAATAAGAAAAAAATCGGTTTAAAATGCGTCCTGATGAAGTGAATGCGGAAGAAATCTATTCCGGTATTAATATGGATGTCATATCAATGAAGGTCATGTACTAACGGAAGGAATTACGCATTTTGTATTCCAAACGTACATCGAGTACATTGATTAAGATAGAAATCCAAAAGGAATACTAATCACTGTAGCAACCTTGAAGAAATAGTTTCTAAAAATTCTCTCGAATTCTCTTGAATTGTAGATCATTATATAAATTTGTTTGAAAATCTGTTTTATTTTTGGAGACTAGAAATATAATTTCTTATTTTTCGTCGCTAAAAGAAATCAGTTAAAATTAATATTAAATTAATTTCTTAATAAATTAATCTTACTCATATAGGTCATCAAATCTTTATCCGAAAATGTTGAAATTACATTGTTTATCCCGACAAACGGGAGTATACTGTTTGCGTGTAATTATATTTTTTATTTCATTAAATTTTATTTTAATTATTTCAACTTTAAATTATCTGGCTGTTGACCTTTAGAAAACTGTAAAACTATTTCACAAATACATTGTCAGAAAAGAGTGATTAATGATGACTGAAATAATTAATTTGCTGATCTACTAATTCGAAAATTAGTACTGAATTATACATAAGCCAATTTTATTTATTACACTAGGAACTCTGTTCCAATTATAAAATAATTATAATCTTTTTGCTGCAAGAATGACTAACACGTGCATATCAGAGCATGTTTATGGAAATGCAGGTTGTTGGGAAATACAGTCTAAATAAGTATTAATAATTTGATTACATAAAGTCAGTATGAATAACTTGCTCCATGATTATTTCAATTTTGGATAATTATTATAATTAAGTAGCAGCGTGTGAGAAATATTTCAAATTCTATCAAACCGCATTAGACTTATGTAAGATAAATTTACATTAATTTGCATTAATAAATAACACCACGATTAATGACACTAAAATTTTTTGTGGTCTTCTTTTCAATATTTCAATTATTATATCTCAAGTTTTACAATGTGATCCTGAGAAGAAAAACTCATTACTCATCTAGCAACGTACATCGTAATTGATTTTTTATTTTATTAAAATATTTTGTTGCTATATTTTATATGAAGTTGTGTAATTCTCACATTGCATAAGCATTGCATTAGCAGCAGAATAATTATGTTGCCTACATTATCAGGAATAGAATCCTATGTTATCAGTTACGGGTATGCTGTCTCTTCGTTTAAACAACTTTAAAACTATGTCGCAAACTACGATTTTAAAAAACATAGTTCACAATATCTAAGAAATAAATTTAATTTGTACTAAACACAAAACAGAAATGTTTTTTATTTTCATATATTTAGAATCATGTGTGAAACATGGAATATGTACAGAGATGCGATAATCGAAATACAACAAAATAAATATACATATATAAGGTACTACAATTATAATTACAATTTTTAAGTATTTGCAGCCAAGTCAATGTAGAAATCATACTAATCGATCCGTAAATCATTATTTGAGTCGATTATATGCTATATACGTATATTGCAAATAATCAAATCGTGATTTGAAATATGTATATACATTTTTTTACATATTTCATATATTTTGAATTGATATGCATTATTATACGATATGCGTATATTGCAAATGATCAAACCATCATTTTGAAATACATAAATTTTCTTTTAAAATTAAAACAATAAAATTGTATTTACATAACAATTATCTAACCACACATCATTCGCGGATAACTTTGTAATTTGAAAAGGCTATATCTTTGTATTGTTGTACTTTTCTTCTTTTTTTTTTAATAGAATGTGATAAAACAAAAATTTTATGTCATGTAGAGAGCATTAATCGGTAACCGTGTGTTTAAATTATAATCGTAACTGCAGTTAGAAAAAAAGCTTCGATAGCACAAAGAGAAATCAATGTTACATTCTTACGTAAAGTCATCCGCGTGAATTCTATACAATAATTTTTTAGAATCCAGCTGTCGTTCCTTGTCGACGATAATCCGAATTTGCTGTTATAAATTCGTTTTCTTTAGATACAGCTGTAAGCGCGCTGCCAATTCCGCTGAACGTGGAGACGTTGTGACCGATCTTATTCAGGTAATCTAACGTGGGTTGGCAAAAATCTTTCTCGTTCTGGATATTCATCGGCAGCAGCTGCAATTTTTTAAATAGCTTGCTCAGAATAAGGCCTTTAAATAAGTAAAACAACTCGACAATGTTTTCCATTGGTTTAAATTTGATAATTGGAGCAATTGTCTTAGTAATATTCCTTGCGTGCGCATGATGAAAATTAAGAAATAATTCATTGAAGCATAAATAGTATCTAAGTCATAATTGACAAGAAAAAATTTCAGTAAACGTAGATTAAAAAATTATTTAAATTCTTAATTTATCCGAATTTTATTAAATAATAATTATATTTTAACATAACAGTTTTTCTAGAACTATCATCAACTAATATAATCTTCTAAAATCTTCCTAATTTTCTATTTTAAATATTTTTAATATGTAAAATGTAAAATTTAATAATTTTGTAATTTCATTAAATAATAATTTAATTATATAATAATTTTAGAGATGGATTTTAGTAACAATTTCTTAAACTGCCATTATGGAATTAAAAGTCGATTTGATCGTAATGGCACAATGCTACAACTTGGTTTTCGATTAAAATTACTTTGTCAAGTTCAAATGCTTATGTCGCTCGAACTCACTTGATGATGAAGTCTACGCGCATCAATTGCTTCCTTTATGTCGTAACCGAGCCAGAGATTCAAGAGCAATCCAATCGCCACGCCGCTCGTGATCTTCGAGCCACCGGCTGCGCCAATCACTAATCTGACATCACCCTTGTGATCTACCTAAGAAATCATACAATTGAATCAAATGAACTTGAATTAACCGTCCAGACCTCATCACCGCGTACATCTTACTCATTCCCTTCAAGATCATTTTGAAAGAAACGTTTAAAAAAAAAATCTGTTTTACATCTATCTTAACGAATTGCGTGAGAAATATTGGTAATATTTCACGTGGCGACGGCGCCGAGAATCGTTTCGGACAATCGTATGACGATTGCAAATTGCAATTACATCACTGAGCCGAGGCGATTCTCGGAATCGGTTATCTGGCGACAGTTAATTGCAAACTCGTTGTAGACTAATATAGACGCGTTTCATTAGAAACGCGCGCGTTTCGCAATCGTTTTACGAAAGCGCCGCGCCGCCGCGTTTACCGAACGCGCGACTGTTTTGCTGCACGTTATTCACCCGAGTTCCCGCGAGCGAATTTGTCGACGGTCACGTTCGCGGTTGAAAATGGCTTACCACTATAGACGGGCACATCGAACTCAACGGTCGTTTGCGGGGCCGAATAAAATTCGCCGGTGACGGCGGCAGCCCGAAGCCGTTGGTAATGTTGGGCGAACTGAAGTCGTCCATCTCGTCGTTAAATATTATACCGGTGGATTCCGAGCGTATCATCGCGCCGAGCCTGTTAAATAAAGATGCTTACAAAGGAGCACGAAAAATCTCTGCTGGGCATTATACACCGCGGGATTTCTATCCGTTTAGACCGCGTCCGTCGAATCGTTCCATTTTTAAGAATAGATATAAAGCGCGCTTTCAAGAACGAACATGTCGAACTCGTATACTCGGGATACGTTCTGCGAAAGAATTCAATCGGTTTTCCTTTCTCTTTCTCTCTCTCTCTCTCTCTCTCTCTCTCTCTTTCTCTCTCTCTCTCTCTCCTCGTTTTTTAACACGTCGATACACGCAGTGAGATATAAAAGTTACAATAAAGTTTTTGTTAGCCTGAAACGTATCGGCGCCGTGAATGGAAATTCCGATATTTTTATTCAAAATATTATGTACGTTTGATACTTTGTAAATGAATCGTTGCATGTATTTCGAGTATCTATAATGCAATTTGAAACGACCAAATTCCGCGATAGTGAAAAACAAATCTTATTATAGCTTGAGCGCAGTTGATTTTATACAGATTAATTTTATACAAATTGTCTCGGAATTTAAGTAATTCGATCGGAGTGCTTTGCTACCTAACGAATTTACTTACACCTGATTGATAGTCGATGTAACGGAGACGGCGGAACCGTCGGGGGCGAGGACGGAAACGTGCGAGGTCCCCGCGTCCGCGACTGTTGTAGTGTTGACGCCGTATTCCTCCGGATCTTGACTCGTGCGATCGTCCTTAATCCTCCTCTTTATCATTTCCGCGTAATCGTTGGACGTTAAATTGGTGAGCAGCGCGTCTACAAAGAAATAATTTCATTGCATTAAATGCTTTGTGATTGACGAGAGGAGTGAAGGGGGGAGGGAAAGAGATTCGAAGAATGTATTCGAGAAAATGCGCTGAAACAGAAATAAGCGGGCTCTCAAACAGCAGGTTTTATGTCAAATGCGTTACGTGATACTGTACAAATTATTAAGTGGAAATATTTGACGTAATGGAAAAATTCTATAATCCGATATTGAAGAGAATAATATGTTAATATACATATTTGAAGTCACACAGAAAAAGAAAACTACTGCCTCGCCGTCTTCCATGATTTATTGTGACGTACATCGATGTCAGCAAAAAAAACTGTCTCTATTCATATAAAAAAGATCTTTAACGCATTAATAATCATGATATTTTAATTATTAAATAAGCTTGTAACATTTCTCATCAATCTTAATTTAATACATAATTATCAGTCTCTTAAGGATCTCGTAAAACGGCTACTAAATAAATTATTATTTTTCATTTGCATTTAAGAACTTTTGCGTCATTTGATCGCGCCCTTTTTTAATAGATTTTATATGCAAGGAATATTATTATACATACAGAATATTTCAGGATTTAAAACAAAAAAACAAACTATGGAAGTATGTTTTACAAAGAAATAAGAAAAAAATGTTCTAGTTTAAAAATATAACAGATATAATAAGAAACATAAAAATTTAGCTAGAAATGCTTTATTACTAAGATATAAAATAATACTAAATTGTTCAAAAATAATAAATACGATATGAATATACACACGAGATAAATACGTTTAATTTTTCTGTAGGTATATGAAATGTACACTTTTATATTCTGCGCAATGGCAATTCAGCAAAATTCTGTTGTTTCCTATTTTATTTTGTTTCAATATTTGTAATTTTATAATAAAAATTTATAACTTTGTAATAAAGCATTTCTAATCAAATTTCATATTTTAATAATATAACATTTTTTTCTTATTTTTACTTGTAGAATATGGTTTGTCCATTAAATCCTGAGACACTCTATATACAGGATGTCTGGAAACTTGCCTGCATTACTTCTTTAGATGATTCGGGACTCAAAAAGAAGAAAAAAAAAAGAAATGAATTGTTTCCGCTTTATAGCCACTTTTATATTTTAAAAATCGTAATAAATTATGGTTATTATAATTATGACTATGAAAAATAAATGATTCTTTTAACATAAAGGTGGCTTAAAAATAACTTAAAAAAATCGTAATTTATTTTTTATAGTCATAATAATTATAAATTATTATAATTATTATTACAATTTATTTACGATTTTTTTTACCTAAAAATGGTTACCTATAATTCGGAAACAATTCATTTCCGGACCTATGTTCATATAACTTTGTTTCTTCTTTCTTGAGTTCTGAATCACCTGAAGAAGTAAAATTTCTGAACACCTTGTATAATTTTTTAAGATAATTATCGAGAAATTGCTTTAAAGATTTACACAATGCGCGGTCTCACCTATGCCTTCGACAAAATCAGGGTCCCCCAGTTCTGTTCTTCTTGCGTAAGCCCACTTGAAGGTCTCGACTATACGTTGCCACATTGCGTTCTCATTGTCGATCGGTAGCAGACGACGAAAGACATTCATTATGAATGTCAGAATTGCACCCGAACCCGGCGGCGGAGCGCTGTAGATCGTCAGATTTCCCATTTTTAACGCGACCGGCTTTCTCCATACGGGTCTGCAAAGTAGTCTTGCGTCATCAATATGCTACTATACGACTCTCGCATCTATCATGCAAAAGTAAACATTAAGCTCTTCTTTTGTTGATTGCGTTCTTACAGATTGTTTGTAATTGCGAACTTAATGATGATATGTCAATAAATGATTCTCAAGAAGTTTTGCGCCAATTCGATAATATATGTCATCATTTGTTGACATATCATCATTAAGTTCGCAATTTGTAAGAACGCAATCAACGGAAGAGGAGCTTAATGTTTACTTTTATATATTTTTTGTATATATAAGTATTTTCTTGTTGATAGTCATTATAAAACCAACGGTATCTAATCTGTACATTTTTATCAGCTTTAAATCGAACTCTAGATAATGCAGACATTTAACATTATTTCCGCCAGCAACTCTGATATTTATTTATATTTACTCGTTTCGTGTTAATACTAATTGTAAGATAACAAAGATAGTCAATAACATAAATTTTCCATTATGATCTTCCGATCAGTTCTTTAATATAATTCAAAGAAATAAATTTTTTTAAGTTTATTCAATAAATTTTCTATTAATATTATCATTTCAGTAAATCGACGTCGTTTCGATATATGTACATCTGCACAACGTAAGCCATGTTCCTTTATATTTTACGCTTTCTCGTAAAATTTTAACCATAAAAAAGATAAGTTTATAATTGTCTGCAATAGTTAATTTTTATATTTTCTGAAATAACAAATTCCGCGTTTTACGAGAATCCGTCATAATACTCGAAAACAAAAAAATTAAAAGCGCAATGCGCACCTGTACTCTTGAAAATCCCGTCTTGTGATGATTCCTTTAAACTTTCTTATCTCGTCGACTAATTTGTCAGTGAGGATGCCATTGTAAAACACGGAGGGATCCTTTTCCGCTATCAGCTTCAACGTCTCCGCCAGTTTCGGTCTCTTTATTCGGTCTCCCGCCTGCAAGTGTGTTCCTCTATTTAATTCATAGTTCCGCCGTTCCACGAGATGTATATATAACATACGTCAGACAAAGCGAGAGTTTCAAAAATGATAAGGATGCTGCGCAGAGCAAGGCGCTACTCACGATCCACGTTTTATTGGTCTTAGGATTTATGAGTATTTCAGCCAAGCTGCTCTCGTTCTTTATCATCGGCTCCTTTTCGGTCAGATACGCGGCGAGATACTCATTGACGTACGATCCAGTTTTGCACAATTTAATTGCGGGCTCGAATAACTCAGACCACGGCAATCTCCCGTATCTTTTGTACGCTTCCCAATAGCCCATAAGCTCACCCGGAACAGCGACTGCCAGTCCACCTGTTTGACAACACATATCATTCGTTTACTTTGGTCCTGGTGGACCACTATTGTTACGCGCGAACAAAGGTAGTGAAGCATTATTATAATTAATCGTCGCTATGTCGCATCCGGCAATTATTATATAACTTTGGTGCAATTTTTATGTAAATGTACGCGTATCTGTTTAGTAAGCTTTACTGCGAAAAAAAATCCTACCATACATGGCTAAATGAGCATTGCCATCGAACATGTCCTCCGTCGCGGCAATCGGGGCGGTCTCCCGCGCGTCCAGATAATCCGCCGTTTTGCTTCTTGCATCCCATATCGTCATGAGAAATCCACCGCCCAGTCCCATGCTTTAAATCAATGAAAGTAGAAAAGTATATATACCGCTCGCTCGTATAATTTGTTTCGCAAATTTACATCAAGTACAATCGAATATCTTGTCGAGTAGAGAAGTCATTTCTCCATTCCAAGAAAAAGAGAGTAAAAAAATTGCAAATTGCAAAATGGAAATTATAATAATACCTGTGCAAGGACGCGATGCCCTCGCAAAGTAGTGCCGCTATCGCCGCATCCACTGCCGAACCATTTCTAGATAAGATATCCGCACCAATTTGTGAGCATTCCCGACCGTTTGTTGCCACGGCGCCCTATTTACAATTATTTCAATGACTCTGAGAAAAAGCCTTTTGCAATATACTAAATTACACTTTGTATTTCACGCTATGTTTCTTCCTTTTACATATAAAACAAAGCTACGTGGATGTTTGCGAGGAAATAAGAATGAAATAAAGCGTCTATCGAAATAACAATTCCAATGAAAATATATTTTCGAAGTAAATACACACGCACATATGGCATTACTTTTATTATTTGCTGTTATTTATAATATCGAATTAATTCTGTATTAATTAATTTCCTGATATTGATAGCGCGAGAGGTATTACGTATTTGAAAATAATCATCTTCCTTCCGGAACACCATATTTTAATTAAATGGATAGCTTCGAGAATACGCTTTTGTTTTATCTATATCTATATGAGTCAAATTGACATTTTTTATATTACGTTGTAGTTAATCGGTCATTGTTTTTCTTTTTTATTTACTTCTTGATTAACAGATATTACCTTCGCATACCGATCCAATTTAGAGGAACTGACGAACTTTGCACCGCACTTAACATCTGAATTGAGCGTGAAGACTACAATTAATATCACGAAAATGGCCACGAGCACGGCCGCCGTCACTCCGAATGCAATCAGTTTTTTTCTCACTCTGCACAAAACATATAAAAAACCTATTAAAAATCATATTTTTATGAATTATCCTTTTGATGATATCATGAGAATCGATCCACAGTCGAGCCACGTTTATTTCATGAAAAAATTTCTGATGTAAGTAGTAGCTGTAAGATCAGCTGTAACGTGATTTCTAATTTTAAACATTACAAACTTAATTTGCGCGATATTCTACATACGATTTTTATTCGAAATCCGGGTTTAATATATAAAACATTTTTTTTCGTTATTTCTACTGCACCGATTTTATGTTATGTGTAAATTAAAATCCGGTTATGCAATAAAGAACTAATGGAAAAGTTGGAATAAATCGAGTTGTATGTACATTGCAATTAATATATATGTGCATATATTCGTTTTTTTTTTTATAGGAAACCGATGATTACGCTGATATGTTAAACTATGTGACTGATGAAAGAAGTCGCACAATAGCGATCATAAAATGAAAGTCAGTGATGCTTAGAGCTTCTGCCGGTTACAATCTCGTGGTTGCTCTACGTACGCTCCAATGATTCACCATGACCGCATTTGTACCTGCGTCACTATCGTAAAGGTTTACTAGTTGCAGCAAAATGTAATTATAACATAGCATGATTACATTGTAGAGCGTGAAATAATTTTACGTGTTACACGAAAAAAAGTTATTTTACAATATGCAACAATACCATGTGGTGACATGAAATTTATCAATCGTAAAGATTCGTTTATAAGTAATTTTTTTAAATTTGAATAATATGCGTTCGTATAAATTGAAGTGTCATGCTACAATGTTAGCAATCGCGATTAGACGATTGAAAGATATAATAACTGTTTGTAAAGATAAAATTTCTAAAGTTCCTTTACAAGCACGTCGCAATCAACGTTTACAATTGTACGATAAGAATCGCGATTTTAAAAGTTTATGTAATTAAACGTGTGAGATATGTATCGCTTGAGAGATATCAATGCGATCGCGCGCCGTGTATTTGTCACCTTTATTGCCGATGCTGATTCGAGAACGTGGTCCAGTTATCATCGTGCAATAACAGATTTACGCATGCAGAAGACATTTACTATGCAATTCGCTGAGATTGCGTAACGCGTGTATACATCACTCAAATACGTTCACGCACCGTACGGATTTAGCGTCGCGCCAAATTACACCTTTATCAGTTTCAAGATGTACGACTCGAAATTACGAGAAACAGAAAAGATCCATTTTCTGTCAGCTGGTTAATTATGTAGACTTAATTAAACGTGTCACAGATCTGTAAATATTTCGTAATTATCGCGCACTTTATCAATCTACTACTGATTCCTTTATGAACGTATGATGAAGATATAATTTGAAGGAATTAATGCAGCACGACTCGTGTAGAAATAAAGAGACAAAATATGTTTTTTACCTTATTAATCAAGAATAAACATAGATTAAATGAATATCTTAAAATTAAGTAAATATTTTTTTGAAGATAATCGAACGACACAGATCAACCTGTTTAGATGGTATATATACTTTTTTAATCCTTTTTTATAAATAATCACGATTTACGGAAATAATACTCGATAATGTGAAAAAAGAACGACTGTACTTATCGCGATGTGGTAACAGATTTTTACATTTGAAAAGCATACCGTTACTTGAGTTTTCCACAACTCAATTCTTAATTATTATGTCCTTGTAACATTAAATTAAACATTGTTTGTTTAATCATAAGTATGTTTAGCTAATTGTGCATGTGTATTTAATTATTAAATTAATCACCAATGTAATATTTTAAATTGCACAATTGTAGCATAATTTGCAAGCACATTTTATTTTGTATACTTTAGATAAAAAGATATTAAAATGTGTGGATAAATAATATGTGAGTTATTACACTATGTACATGTAACGTATTCAATAAAATATATAATATATATATAAAATATATGATATACATGTAATAATATATAAAATATATAAATATATACATAATATATACAGTAAAATATTAATATAAAATTATGTGTTTATACACACAATTTTATATTTTACTGTAAATTGTAAATTTTTAGCAGATGTTGCAAATAGATATGCCTTGAACAAAAACGTATAGCATATATACATAAATATATAAATTAATTTAAACAATTCTATATAAATTAATTTTTAAATATTTATTAGAGCACACATCTATAAATGAAATTTATCACTATTATGCGGCACAAAAAATTTTCATGAAAAGTATTTTTTAACAGAATGAAAAATAGTTAAAAGTTTTCAAAAAAAGTACACATATATGATTTAAAATTAGAAAAGATTATGAAAATGTTGCAAAAAAATTGTCAGTACATTTTTTTTAACAATAAATTAGTTAGAAGGCTGTAAGAATTTTTTGTAAAAAAAACGCTTTAAAACCTATATTCAGTCTTCGTACAAAGATGTAGCACTATCTACGCAAAAATACATACATAAATTGTAGACACAACTTTATCTATGGTTAGTCGCTAGAATTAAATACCTTTGCAATTATAATAGAAGTGTTATGTACTTATAGCGATCGTTAGCGTACACAGCAATGTAACATTTCGATATGTAATATCATCAGGTGGGTTTAAAATTGAGGTGAATTTCTACGCGGTTTAACGTGAAAATGCAGTTTCAATATTTTCTCTTACTTTAAAAAATACTGCAACGCAAAGAATGATAATTGTATTTATACGCGTACACGATAATTACAATTCTAGACGCGATTGCAATATACGGCATATTATTGCACGTGATTACGCCACCGCTAATCTCTCGAGAGTATCAAGCAATCTCATCCCTTTAACACACAATGTCTCTGGAAATCCCTACAGAAAATTATCAATTCCTGTATCTCTTCTAACTCTTTTGACAAGGTTAAAGTAATGAGTAACATGGTAAAAGCTGTTTTAAATCTAAATTGTAAATTACGTTAGAAAGTAGTATTATCCACTTGTCAAAATGAAATTTTTCGTTAATTTACAACATTTACTAGGTATTTTATAACTTTTTCTTATAAGATAAATTAAATATTTATTTTACGTTTTTGTTATCTATATCAAATATAAATATATACCATAAATGATATTAACATAATAAACTACAAAAGTAGTACGTGTTTTATTTTGTAAAATCGGCTATTTATCAAATATTATGAATTATTTAATTATAATATTTTTAAGAAAATTAATTTATATTAAATTTATTGTTTGTGAAACTTGATAAGTTTCAATAAACACTAAAATATTTTTAAAGTATGATTATATGACAATACCTTAATTGTATTGTTTCATTTTCGTTACCGTTTTATTTCTCGAATATTTTATTGATTTCTTTATTTCTAATATATTAATTTACATGTGAAATATAATGACTCGCGGCAAATAAATATGATAGATAAATACTCAAGCGGATTACGTTAAAGAAATTGCACTCGACAAGCACATTCTCGCAAATCACAAGTTTATGCTACGACTAATGTTTGCACTGTTTAAGCGACACAAATTTTGCAAGCTACAGAAATAAAACATTTCACCGTGTCAGTTTCAATTGTTATGTCGTCCGTACAAGGACGATAGCTATATACTTTCACTCACGTTGCACGTCAAATTCTCATCGATTTTTTACGCGTCGAACGCGGTTTTAGCGAGACATACGGCCATTTCAACATGAGCAGACAAAAAAATTATGCAAAAGTCGTGATGTCAGCACAGGCATTTTTACCTGTTGCCCCCGCACCTTCGCGGAGCGATAAAAAAAAAGGAGATATACCGACCCGATCATGTTGTATGTATACAGGCGAACGTAACGCAACGAGCATGACAGAGCGACCAGCCTTGACTAAACGTTTCTCTAAGCCGATCGTTTCTCTTATAAGAGCAACGATACCGTTTCTGTCTATTCATCCCCACTCACTCGTACGAATTTCCGGAAGTTAAAACGAACGAGCGACTGATTTATATTATCTCTTTTTTTTATTCCAGATCCACGTTTCTTACTCTTGTCTTGAAAATTTCGAAATTATCGCAGGCACCAATATGTAATAAAGTAAATAAATTTTAAAATAAATATCTATAATTTAATATTGAATACACGGCGATTTGATTTGCGAATTAAAATTTACTAGACTTTCTTTCTCTCTCTATTAATTTAATAATAATAAAATAAACATATTCGTTTAATACACACGAGAATATATGCGTTCGCTTATAGAATTTATATTTCTCGAGATAATGGATTTTTCTCCGGATGAGATAGAAATAGTATATCGAAAGATTATGTCATAGTAAAATTAAATTCAGGGAAGTACAGAAGCGGTCACTAATTATCTCGAATATTCCAACAATAATCTCTTTTAAAACAAGTTTTACTGGATTTTTTTTAAATTGCACAATCGTAATTTTTTTTACGATTACAAATATCATAGACAACGTTACAGTTAATATTATTTCAGAATTTCGCAATGTTATTTTAGAAATAACATATGTCAGTACAACAATCAGGAGACACGGTAGTGGCTTGGTGTCAAGTGTTTAGAACTAATAAAATTATATACATATTAATATGTTATTTAAAATGTATACCAAGCCATGCCGGGTCTCTTCACGCGAGCCGTCGCGTTGCGAGCAGCTGAGATTATGAGATCTCAATAACGATCGAATCGATTAAATTCCAAGTAGGTAAATGATACCTCTAATAAAATTACGTCGATGAATATCAGAAGACACGTAGAACGTCGTGTCTCGGTGCTAAAAAGTACGTACAACAAATATATACATATATAGGTACATAATAATAATTTCTAATAAAATTACGTTTACGCAGCTATGATATAAAATAAAAATCGAACAAAATACGAATTAAAAAAAAACACATTATTACAATATCATCTATAAAACGCATAAAAATAGATGTAATATATCGTAAAATAACTGCGCATCCTGAGTCACCTTTTTGAAGCTGACATGTATATTTCCATTGCACACTTAACGCTAAGTGTAATCATATCTTTATTACATATGTGTACATTATGTGTGTAACCATATAGATATGGTTGCACATTGTACGTGTTACGCACTCATACATTACGTATGTACATACGTACAAAACATATGTTACACATACGTAACGTGCATTCTTTCTGATTATTGGTAGCCCTTGCAAGGAGGATTTCGTCAATTCTAAAGAGATAATTCTCGACAGGACAAATATTCTATTCTGTCCCGGGAAAAAATTTTTCATATAAGAACATATATAAATATATATAAACATATATAAAAATATAAAATTATATATGATTATACATAATTAAATGCGAAATATGACCATTCATATGATCCATATATATTTCTTTTCTTTGTAAAATTATTGTTACAAGAAAAATAATAATAATAAAAAGAAAACATAAAAAATAATTAAGAGAATAATTTTTGCAATGTTTTTTTTTTTACAAAAAATTAATTTTGAAGAAATGAGAAAAAATTGTTCATATACAATTATATATGTATATTTTTAATCATTTATATATAATTTATATATAATTATATATAAGCAATTTTTCTCATTTTTTCAAACTTAATTTTTTGTAAAAAAAAACAATGTAAAAATTATCCTTTAATTATTTTTATGTTCCTTTTATTATTATATTTTTTGTATAACAAAAATAATTTACAAGGAAAAAACTTATATGGATATATATGGACATATAATTTTACATATAATTATATATAGTTAAATATTTTTATATATGTTCTTATATGAAAAATTTTTTCCCGAGGTGTTCTAATTATTTTTAATATTTATAGTCCAATCTTATTTGAGATCTTATACAGATGATATTCAGTTAATTGATGATATTCAGTTAACTTAAATATCGAAAATATAATTTAAATATAATTTATTTTTTATTATTATTTATATAATAATTTTAAATATAAAATTGAACTATAAATTTTTTTTATTTAAATCAATTGATGAAATAATCGTACAGACTACCTATTTAAAAGATTGTATTTTAGATGATCTTAAATATAAAATCGATATAATCAGAACAGAGTGTCCATTTATTCATTAACTGAATTAATTGATCGAGCGGATCGCGATATGTCGCTTCATAAAAATCCGTCCATTCGTCTGGGGCATATACGGTGCATTATTTCTAGGGAAATGCGTTGTCATGTTCGCGTCCCAGAGTTGTCAAGAGTGCCGACAGCCGACTCCGGGTGCTGCTGACTGCTCAAGAAAACGGCGGAGTCATTTCGAGTTTCTCGTAGAACGGTGGTATATTTTGAACGGCCGAGACGATGTCGGCGAGATACGACAGAGCGATCACGGTTTTCTCGCCGGACGGGCATCTGCTCCAGGTGGAATATGCCCAGGAGGCAGTCAAGAAGGGCTCGACGGCGGTACGTTGAACAGTTTGATTATTCTAACCTCCCCTGCTCCTGAGTTCGGGAGTCGCTTTCAGTGTATTTCACCGGAATCCTCTCGTCCGCCCGCCGATCCGCGATCTGTCCGTTGTCACGCACGAGGAGTTTTAGTCATAATCGACCAAACCTAAATTAACTTTATTCATCTACTTTACGTATGACTCTGCGTATTCTACGTATAGGTTATGTTAACAGTTTTACAGGTCAGCGTTAGATCTGTTTGCCTTGCTTGCACTCAGAATCTCTCTCTCTCTCACTGTTTCTCTCCAACGTGTATATTCATTATTATATTTTTCTATATTATTTTCTTATTTTTGTTACTTTCCATTTTGTATATTCTTATTTTTATATTTTCTTTTATTTTTGTTCTTAGAAGGCTTGCCATAGAATAATAACAAATGCTTTTATTTATCTATCTGTCTAATGCCTGAATATATTTATCTCCTTTGTGAAAATTTCGAGAATTTTAAGCAACGCAAACAAGCCAAAAATCACTCTTGTCTCGTACCTATCTGGCAATGTCTATTTTAAGGCAAAAAATAAAGTATGATCCACATATCCATATTCTCATATCATTTTCTGATCATAAAGAATGTAAAAGTGATAGAATTACCAGCTAAAGTACTGCCTGACAAAATTCATATCAATTTATTCTTGGTTTGCTTATGTGTCACAATTTTTTGTAAGCGCAGGTTGGCGTACGTGGCGCAGATGTAGTAGTCTTGGGTGTCGAGAAGAAGTCCGTCGCTAAATTGCAAGAGGAACGTACGGTTCGCAAAATATGTCTCTTGGACGATCATGTAATTATGGCCTTTGCAGGTAAGAATATACAACATCGGCTTAAGGATATATATTGCTTGTGTGCAAAGGGGATAATTGTTTTCAATTCTCCCAACAGGTTTGACAGCTGACGCAAGAGTATTGATCAACCGTGCGCAAGTCGAATGCCAGAGTCACAAGTTAACAGTAGAAGATCCCGTTACCTTGGAATACATTACAAGGTATATTGCAGGTATGACTTAAATTTACAAACTTTTACTCTACAGAAAAATTTTGCCTTCTATCTTATTGAAATATGAATTCCCGAAACGAGTTGTCGCATATACATTTTATTTCTCATTCACGATTTCTCATTCTAATTTCCCAATCAATTTCTTATAAAACCAAGACATACATGAGATAACATTCGGAATCGAATTTGGGATCTGTTGACTACAACAGGTCTCAATCTCTTTTATATTCTTCTCGAAATATGAATTTCCAAAAAGAGTTGTCACATCTCATATACATCTTATTTCTCATTCACGATTTGAATCTAATTTCCAATCAATTTCTTATAAAACCAAGACATATGTATATGAGATAACATTTGGGATCGAATTTGGGATCTGTCGACTACAACAGGTCTCAATTTATATAGAGCCACACATCGCTTTGATAGAAAACTAAAATTATTGTTATTCACAGGCTTAAAACAGAAATATACACAGAGTAACGGCCGTAGACCTTTCGGAATATCTTGTCTCCTAGCTGGATTTGATTACGACGGTGTCCCACATCTTTATCAAACAGAACCGTCAGGGATATATTACGAATGGAAGGTACATACAGATGAGATCAATTTTATACATTTTTTTTGTCGAATTATAATTGAATGTAATTATTTAAGCCAAATACTTATATCAGTCTCTTCTTCCCCAAAGGCAAACGCAACAGGGCGCAGCGCTAAAACTGTACACGAATTCTTGGAGAAGTATTATACCCCGGAAGAGGTATCGACAGAAAAGGGTTGTATAAAATTAGCTATCAGAGCGCTACTCGAGGTAGTTCAATCCGGGCAAAAGAATCTGGAAATAGCGGTAATGCGACGCGGACAGCCATTACAGGTACACTTACAACTTGTGTCCGATTGACACATACTTTAATCCTACATTTTTGACCTAAGAGGTTCATATTTCTAAAACATAAATTTATAACAACGTGTGTAATATTTCAGATGTTGGATACGGACTCCATAGGCGAATATGTAACGGAAATCGAAAAGGAGAAGGAAGCGGAGGCGGAGAAGAAGAAACAGAAAAAGTGATGTCTTTTGTGTTCTATTATGCACTTTGACTATACTATATTATTAATTTTTCTTATAAAATAAATATATTGCAACAAAAAATAGGAGGAAAGCATATAAATGAAAAACGCGACTGAAAACTGTGAGATTTTTTTTATTCACGCCATTTACTGTCACAGAGTGTAAAATGCGTAATACAAAATCATTCGCCACATTTTAAAATTTTAAGGATTTAGATTGATATTATGAAGGGCAAAGGTATAAGTCTAGTTGGTTTTTCAGCAATAAATAATTACATTTCGTACCTATGTATACGTCAGGTTATCTTATTAATGTTCTCGCTTTATATATTTATCTTTTTTCAAAAGTGATATATTTATTAATTTTAATATATTAATTACATTAATTAAATTAATGTTACTAAATCTCAAAAGATCTTCGCTATTCTAACTGCGATTTAACAAATGATATAAATAATTTGGTGTACCTATTCTGTCGATGTGGACTTGATATCAAAATGTACTGTTTTTACTCTGAGATGTATTCCGAGGACAGAGATCTTCCACGATGATTAAATACTTGAAAGGATGGTAAATTTCGCAGCGTCTCCCAAGATTTATTCTCCAAATCGACAACCGCCCGAATCTCTTTGAAGTCGCCAGCAATGTACATGACGCCGTACATAACGACAAATAAACTGGCTATACCTTGGATTAAAATCTGTAACGACAGCGAAATACATATCCCATTAACATGTAATATATTACCAGGATCGTATTGGATTGTACGAATTTGTGAAATCTTTTATACAGGAATGATAAATTTTTTGTAGCTTTTTATACGGGATGATAAAGAGGATAAATATGAATAACTTACGTCAATTGGCAAAGTGGTGAACTCCTGCTCGGTGATTCGCAAGTAGGAACGATCTATAAAAAAAAAACAACACGTTTCGTTCATTCTATCCAATTACGCTTTGTTCGTTTCGGAAATTTGATTACGATTTATTTTTTTTAACTTTAAATGCACAAAATGACAAAGCAAAACGGACGAATGTACAACTTCGTCGTAATGTTGATAATCAGTATAACCTAAAAAAGTAACAAACACGAAAGAATAAGGTAAATCTACTCACGCTGCGCCGCAGAATAAGCTGCATGTAATATAGACATAAATCCTACAAAAGTTATAAATTTATGTATAACCGTAGCCGACATGACTGACGTATAATATCACAGGTGACGCATTGAAATTCTGTAGTACAACACGACGCAACCGCACACGATCATCGATTACTTTACGGCTCTCTCTCTCTCCCTCTTAAAAGTCAGAATGGCTTCCTCTTGAAAGAGACCTCCAGAGAGGAGTAGAGGACGTGTCTGCATTTCTGTCTTTTAGATGGAACTCGTTATTCGATAACGCCTCTATGTGCACAAACTCTGAAGAATTATATAATTATAATATTATACGAGACACACAGCTGGAAATATAGTCTTCGCTAATTGCTACAATTTTAAAATTGTAGCAATTCTAATATTGAAATATTAGTTTAGTTACTAATATATTAATTCATATCATTTTTTAATTTATCTTTTTTATTACTATTTTGTTCCTTTGTATTTGCCCTTTGAATGTGTGATAATTTGAAACTACATATCATATAAAAACATAAATTTCAAAATTTACTCAATGTAAGATTTTGGCAATGTAATTGAAAATTTGAAATATATAGACGTTACCGACTGTCACATAAATTTCTCAATCGTCGGTATAAAAATTTTCTATTTCGGTTCTCAGCTGGTAACACATACAAACTATGAATGCACATAGCACGTGGACATGCGTGGACAGCGTGGACACATTTCGTTTACGATTCTCTGGTTTACGTATAATATTGTGTAACACTTAATTTATTTAGTGTGTGATTTTAAAACTAAACTTAAATTAAAATAATTTAGTTCATTTATAGGTTTTAAACATGGGGGTGAGTTATAACAATTTTTAATCACGTGTTAATTCATTGATCAATTCGAGTCTAACCTCTCAAAAATTTTATTTTTTAATTTCATTAAAGTTAAACTAGAATTGAAACTAAATCTTTAAGCATATGATACATTTTATTTATAGAATCGTTATATAATTATTTATACATTATTATATGTACATATGTATACATATTTAGTTAATGTTTAATTTTCTAAATTCATGAGAGAGTATATTTTTTATGAATCTTCAAATTCTATTAAATTATACGTAAAGTGACTTATAACATGAATGAGTCTTTATCTAAATGTAATAAAAAATTTTAAAAATTTACTTAAAATAAATATATGCCGTTGTTTATTTTATAGAAATTAAAAAAGCCAAAAATCAGTAAAATTAAAAGGAACAATCTTATAAAGACGAAGCTTTCAAAGCAAGGGAAACTTAAATCTCGACGGCATAAATCAGCAAAGAAAAAACCTCAGAAACCAGCACCACCACCTCCAAAAATAGTAGAAGAAGAAGAAGAAGAGAGTGATCATGGAGAAGATTTGATGAACATGGTTGAAGAAGATGATTTAGATTTTTTAAAAAGTGCTATATCTAATAAATCTTACAACCTATTGAAACCGATTCGCTTGAACGAGTATGATTATACTTTGTAATTTTTAATAAGATCTTTTGTAAATTGTATTATATATTTGTAACATATCATTATTCTTGATTTTAGAACAGACAAAGATTTAAATAAGAGAAAGAAAAGAAAGACTGAAAATGATCAGCCGTTAGAAGAACTGTATGAGACTAATGTCTCGAAAATTGTGGAGGAGACAGGAGGGAAGTCAGTTCGAATGTTGCTTCCCATAAAAACACACGATGGTGTTGTAAAGAAACGTATTGTTGAAGAAGACAGTAAAATTTCAAATGGAGAAGGAAATGAAGACACAAATGGCCAAGAAGGAGGGAAAGAAGATAATCAATATGAAAATAGTGATACAGAAGTGGATATTGATGCGCATGTAAGACTTAAGTTATGTGTTTCTAGCATTTCAGATATTTAACATAGAATATATTTTATGTATTGGAAATTTTAGAATAACTTGCAAGTAACTGATAAACCAGTGTCTACCATCGAACTTCTGGCGCATCGTGAAGAGATATTGAGAGCCAAGCGTTTTAAAATAGGTATACTTTCGAGTGGCATATTAGAAAACCCAGAACTCAAGTCCGAAAATTTTACTGTATTGCTGAAAATGATGGATAAAGAAACTTCGGAAGTTTACATCACAATCAGAAAACTGGCAATGATGTCTCTGTTAGAAGTCTTTAAAGACTTGCTACCGTCGTATAGTATCCTGCAGGCTCCTCAGGAAGGAGTAAAGCGTACGTATACATATATATTATATGTAACTTATCAAAAAAAATTGCATGATTTACACATTATTAATAACTTCTAATCAATTTTATCTGTGTCTTTAGTGAAAAAAGACACTTTGGTGCTGCAGAAATATGAAGCTACCCTATTGAAGAATTACAAAAGCTATTTGCAGAGACTCGAAAAGATGTCTAAGATTTTGAGACAAAAGGGAAATGTGCAGTCGGTAAACGAACAAGAAAAGCAATTGGGCGAGACAGCTGTTTCCTGCATGTGCGAGCTCCTCACCCTCCATCCGTATTTTAATTTCTCCGTTAATATAGCTAATTTCATCCTTCCTCTATTGGATAACAAACGGAGCAGCGTGAGAGAAAAAGTTGCGCAATCTATTTCCCAAGTATTCAAAGAAGATAAACGTGGTCAGCTATCTCTCACAGTAAGTTATAATAGAAATTTTATTATTTTATATAGTAATATTTTATATTTTGATACGCTGGTAATTACAGAGTTATGATTTATTCATTGCATTAATTTCAGATAGTACGAAAATTAAATCAGTATATCAAGTCGAGGAAACACTCTGTACACTCTGAGGTGATAGCGGTGTTACTGGCTCTGCGCATCAAAGACATCAATCTGGACAAAGAAAAGGAGGAGGAAACCAAGCAGAAGAAACTCATGTCTCACAAACAAAGGATTCTCGCGTTAAGCAAACGGGAGAGGAAAAAGAGCAAGAAGCTGGAGCAAGTGGAGAAAGAAATGCTTGAGACGAAGGGCGAGGAAAATAAGCAGGCGAAGCATAAGACTCTCACGGAGATAACGAGTATAGTGTTTACTATATACTTCAGAATTCTGAAACAAGCTCCCAACAGCAAAGTGCTATCCGTGTGCCTGGAAGGATTGGCCAAGTAACGCAATTATACATACATAGCTACTTTGCATCGTAACATCTCCCATTTACTGATTTTAATATAATGTCTTACTTGTGCACTACAGATTTGCGCACTGTATCAATATAAATTTTTACGAGGATTTAGTGAACGCCATAGACAGGTTAATAGAGGACGGTAATTTGGGATTGAGGGAGCAACTGCACTGTGTTCAGTGTATATTCACGATATTATCTGGACAAGCCGTAGCGTTGAATATCGATCCATATAGGTTCGTACTAATCGTAATTTTTATTTTTCTCTTTACTCCTTCATATATTTTTTAGAATGAATTACATGCTGAATATATTGTAAATATAAAAGTTACATAAAATTGTCTCTCTCTCTGTCGTATAGATTTTACGTGCATTTGTATAAAAATATATTGAAAGTCCATTGCGGGAGGACGCACTCGGAGACTGAGACCGTGCTGCAAACGTTGCTGCAGATTCTCATACATCAGCGGAGGAGGATCACGCAGGCACGCATGGTAGCCTTTGTAAAGAGAATCGGCACGATGGCATTGCAGTCGCAGCACAACGCGACGCTGGGGATTCTCGGTATTATCAAGCAAGTGATGCAGCTTGGGAAAGCGGCTCACGTCTTGTTGGACACCGACTGCACCGGCGACGGTCATTACCGGATCGAAATTGAGGAACCCGATTACTGCAACGCTGAGTGTACCGCGTTGTACGAGCTCGTTGCTCTACAGGTAGGTTTATACACTATCTAAATTGAAATGGATTTTTGTTTGAAGACGATCAAACGATGGATAACAAAAGTTGTTCTTACAGCGCCACTATCACAGCGTGGTACAGCAGCTCGCTAAAAATATAGCGTACACTACACCTACGAGCGGTGAGGGCAGCTTGACGGCCGAAATTGCGAAGTTGTAAGTACCGATTTCGATACTTAATAATCATTGACAAGTTTTCAATAAATTGATAAATTATTGGTAGATTACGACATGTTTTCATCGTAATTATTAAGTGCAATTAGTTACTTATGAATCTTTCTATATTGTTTGTTTTATTAATTTTAGATCACCAGAGGAACTCTATACGGAATATGACCCTGCGGGTGTAGCGTTTAAGCCTGCCGTACCTATTCCAAAGAAGAATACCGTTAAAAAGATACCGGTGAATTATAGTATGAGCCCACAACTCGAAAAATATGTTAATACTGTCGATGTCGGCAACTTATTTGCGAACGGACATGTAGACTTTTACAAAGCCTGTAAAAGTAAAAAAAGGGAAGGAATATATTAAGTAACATTGAATAATTGAAATAAAAAATTCTTACATACTAAATTCTGCGTCTTGACTTTTATTTATACTAATTTCATCAATTCTTGTTAGCCTGTAAAAATAATTTATGTGTTGTAAATAATTTAACTGATTTTCGAAAGGAAGATGCTCGGGAGAACAACAAGAAATTTACTGTTCTCGATGAAAGATAACGTTTCTTATGGTACAAAGTGTCTTAGAAACTGTCATCTTTTCTTTGAGTTACAAAATAGTCAGTTTTCAGCATACTTTTCTTTTGGAAATTTGAACACACATACACAGCATTATTCTAAAAAATTCAACCGTGTCAGCTTCATATTTTCTTCTCATATTTATTGTTTCCTCTTCTATTCTCAACTCAACTTTGAATTTATCAATACCTTTATTTTATTAAAATTTTCTTGAAATTTATTTTATCTTATTGACATTAATTATTCTATATTATATATATAGATCTATATAATATATAGATAGAGAGACCTCTATCCATATATATATAATCACACTACGATGTAATTAATAGAATAATTAATGTCAATAAGATAAAATAAATTTCAAGAAAATTTTAAAATAAAGGTATTGATAAATTCAAAGTTGAGTCAAAATCATTTTAAAGTCAGATTCAAATTGAACGAACGAACAGAGAGTTGTTGTCATGTCGTTTGCACTCGTCACGTGACACGACGAGTGTTCAGTGTCTCCGATTCCACCTACTCTTATTTCTGCTAGCTGCATGTCGCGGTTCTATGTTTGACATGTTTTGACGTTCTTCATTTCGGGAGCCAGGTCAGCCAGGTCATAATATTTTACGCAGGATGATGTCCGAGAGAGATTACGCGCCCCTGAGCGCGGCATGCGTACGATCCCTCAATGACAAGTTGTACGAGAAACGGAAGCCAGCTGCCCTGGAGATAGAGAAGTAAGGTTATCCGTGTTGTGTGCAATTTCAATCTCGCTGCGCGTTTTTCGTCACGAGCACCTTCCTCTTCTTTTCCCCAGGTTCCCTTCGACGACGTGACCCTCCCGAGTCACGGTTCGATAATCCTTAAAGGAGTTGATTATTACTGGAGTTGTGTAGATTATTACTGCAAAAGAAACTCGTGCACTCCTCTCCTCCATTTCTCTTTCCATTTAAAGATAATTGATTTTTTCATTTAATTTAGTATTTATTTGTTCTTTTAATTCCATAGAATGGTGAAGGAATTCGCTGCTCACAACAATACCGTACAGATCAAGAGGTTGCTGAAGGTCCTTGGGCAGGACTTCGCCACCTCGCAGAACCCGCATACGCGCAAGGGCGGCTTAATAGGTCTCGCAGCGATCGCGGTCGGTCTCGGAAAGGACACCGGGCAGTACATAGAGGACCTGATCCATCCGATCCTGGCGTGCTTCTGCGACGCCGATCTAAGAGTCAGATACTACGCCTGCGAGAGCCTGTACAATGTGGTCAAAGTGGCAAGGGGCGCGGTGCTGCCCCAGTTCACCGACATCTTCGCCGCGCTCAGCAAACTGGCCTGCGACTCTGAGCAGAATATAAAAAACGCCACCGAGCTGCTCGACAGACTGATGAAGGTAGCCGCGGAGAATTTCTTTTTAAATTCTTAAAGATGCGATTTTTATACAACTCTCACGCTCTGCGTGCTATTGATTTCAGGACATCGTGACGGAAAGCGGCCTCTTCGATTTAGTCGGATTCATGCCCCTGTTGCGCGAGCGTATCTACACGAAGAACCCGTTCGGCAGACAGTTCGTGATATCGTGGGTGTCCGTGCTGGACGCGGTGCCCAACATGGACTTCATAATATTTCTGCCCGAGATACTCGACGGATTGTTCAGGATACTGGACGACCCGACGCCGGAGATCAAGAAAGTCACGGACACGGTTCTCGGTGAATTTTTACGCAGCATCAAGGCCAATCCCGCGAGGGTGGACTTCGCGGCGATGATAAACATACTGATCACGCACGCCCAGAGTAGCGACGAGCTGCTGCAGCTGACCGCCATCACGTGGATCAAGGAGTTCGTAAACCTGTCCGGGCCGCTCATGCTCCCGTACATGTCCGGCATTCTCGTGGCCGTTCTACCGTGCCTGGCCTACGACGGCGACACACGTAAGAGTATCAAAGAGACGGCGACGCAAGTGAACGCGAATTTAATGAAATTAATAATCGTCAAAAGTACAGACGTGACGAATAAGAATCAAGAAAATAAGATACATTCTACGAGGGAGAAGAATGGTAAGTGGTAATTTAATTACATTATTAATGGATTTAGCGAGCGAAATTTCAAATCGTTTCTAACATGCCACGAGTGTTTCAAATTACTGCGAATATCACTGAGATCAAATACTGTTTAAAATTCTGACATTTTTGTGATTAAATTAAACTTAAATTGTACGTTAATCTCTTACATCATTTAGAACACATGATAATAATAATATAATTCCCTTTTCTTTCAGATACAATAGAAAATCATTTCCTGGCTGAAGACTTGGATCTCACCAGTGTAGTGGAAGTACTTACGAAACACTTGCTATACCTGTCGGTTCAAACTAAGGTCGCGGTCTTAAAATGGATACACCATCTGTTCATAAACATTCCGCAACAAATGTTCGATCATATCGAGGACTTGTTTCCGATATTAATGAAATCCTTAAGTGACGCCTCCGACGAGGTGGTGCAACAGACTTTAGTGGTGATGGCCGAGATCATTAGCTCGAAAACCCCGGAGGCGGTGGCGACCGATCCCGACGCGAAGATGCAGAACAAGTATTTCACAAAGTTCATCGTCAACTTACTGAGGCTCTTCTCGACCGACAGGCATCTGCTGGAGGAACGGGGCGCTTTCATTATAAGAGAGTTGTGCGTGCTTCTGAGCGCGGAGGATATATACAAGATACTGGCTAAGATACTGCTGGAAGAGCAAAACTTGAGCTTCGCCTGCACTATGATACAAACTCTGAACGTTATCCTGTTAACCAGTTCCGAGCTGTTTGATTTGCGCAACAAACTCAGGCATTTGGACTCTCCAGTAAGTCCGTCAGCTTCCTCGCGAAATGTTTTTAAATAGTCGAACGTGACACGTTGATTTTGTATCGTAATTTAGCTATGTAAATAGAATATATTATTCACGACTGTGTGATATCTTTTTTTTTTTAGGACAGTTGCGCGTTATTTGAGTGCCTGTACGTGTCCTGGTGTCACAATCCAGTCGCGACGGTGGCCCTGTGTCTGCTGTCTCAACACTACCGGCACGCATGCAACATCATTCAATCTTTGTATCCTTTATTCTATTCTTTCCCGCTCAATTTGCCATCTCGCTGAATCGTTTTCAAAAACCTTAACGCAACGTCTGTACATATCAGCGAAAACATAGAGGTCACAGTGGAGTTCCTGACGGAGATAGACAAATTGGTACAGTTAATAGAATCACCGATATTCACTTGTAAGTAAATGCGGCATATCGCGTTGCCAATAAGAGTATTAAAAACGTTTTGTTTTCGTACATTTTGTTTTCATACATTTTGATTTCGTACATTTTGTTTTCGTAAACTCTGTATGTCCAAGGCAGGGAAGAGGACACGTCGGTGAGCATTATTTGTAAGCGTGCTCGTTTTGTAAACATCAAAGTCCTCTTCCCTGCCTTGGACATACAGAGTGAATTTACGAAAACACGAGGGGAGGGACTCGTCGGTTAGCTGGCTTACTTGAGATAAAAAAATGTAGATTTTTTATGTTTCTTCATTTTTTTTTTGTTTGTTCAAGATCTGAGGCTGCAGCTGTTGGAATGGGAGAAGAACGATGCCTTGATATACGCGTTATACGGCTTGCTCATGATCCTGCCGCAGAGCGACGCCTACGCTACTCTGCAACGTCGTCTAGCGGCGATACCTCCGGCCACGAGGCCGATACCCAAGAGCGAGCAGCGCACGCAGGAGAAAACAGATGCCGATTGCCCGTTTGATTTCGCCAAGCTGTTGAAACATTTCCACGCGGTGCAGGAGCACCACAGGGAGCAGAAGCGCAAACAAAGACTGAACTCCTTGATCGAGAGGAATGCTAGTCACGTAGACATATGAATCGCGCATACTTTTTTTTTTCCACGCGCGTAAATTCGTACGCACGGATTTTGTAACGCATACAAGAGAAGGGAGAAGACACGCGCCTGATTTGCTAATTTTTTACTGCGTAATTGTATATAAAACTTGTGTTTAGCTTTATTGTAATAAAAATATAATTATTATTTATTGAAACGCAATCGTTGGATTCGTTAGAAATAAAATGGATTTAGCGAGCAAAATTTTAAATCGTTTCTAACATACCACGAGTGTTTCAAATTATTGCGAACATCATTGAGATCAAATACTATTTAAAATTCTGACATTTTTGTGATTAAATTAAACTTTAAAGTTCACGAGAGAATTGTACGTTAATCTCTACATCATTTAAAACACATACATGATAATAATAATATAATTCCCTTTCCTTTCAGACATAATAGAAAATCATTTCTTGATCATCATAAAATCATTATCGTTGATCTTAAAGTAAAACAGCCGTTTAACCGAGAAGAGGGGAACGCAGACGTACGAATTCATTTAACATTTAATCTGTACACTAATTAATTATAAATATTGTGACTCCTAATATATACATTCTTAAGATTCAGTCTTCATTTCGTAGTTATTGTCAGATTGACAGAGAAATGACAGTAGCGCGCGTTAAAGCTCATATCCCGTGTCGCTCACGTCATCTGGCCTATCAGTCGCCGACAGATGGTCCAGCTGATCTACAAGCAGACTGTTTTCGTAGAGAAGCAACGTGATTTGTTCCTGCGTGTCGCAGATGTTGCACCACGTCTTCGTGCTCTCCTGCACCGGCACGCTCGTTTTCTCGATCGTTTTCGACTTGCCGGGCAGCCTGTCCAACGAGTGCAGCAGATTCTCGTTGCGCTCCTTGCTCTCCTGCGACAAACGGTAGGAGAACGATTCCAGCACGCGCTCGTAACCGTCTATGTCCTTATCCAATATCTGCGTCTGCAGGAACACCGTCTGCGCCATTTTGTACCAATCGGCAACGCACTCGGATCGCTGGGTCATCGCCGGCATGCACTCCGTCTCGAGAAGCGCTTTCAATCGACGTCCCGTTTCCGTGACCTGTTCAACGAAGAGGGGGACGTTGCGTTTCAGTGAATTTCGCGAGAAATAATTTGCGCGAGCTCTTCTGAATTTCTATCTTGTTTCGCAATAACGCACGGATTAGGGAAACTCGACACGTAAATTTACGTACCTTTATGCGTTCGAGAACGTGGAATTGTTCGTCGTTGTAAGTGAGACTACGAGTGGCCCTGTCCCTCAATAAATGTTGCCATCCGTCCCTCAAGCGATCGACCAACGTCGCCGCCCTTTGGCTCGCTTTCGTGGCCCACGGGCACCACAAGCCGCGAGTACTGTTGTCCCATTCCCCGCGTAAGCTGCCCTCTTTTACGTACCTATAACAATATTATATCTAATTACATTTCTAAATTTCCGATTTTGCAAGATTAAATGCTCATAAACGCACTGATCGGTATTGATAAAACGTATTTCTCAAACGCAGCAATTATGTGCTTCGCATCTTTTAAGACGACCTACCTCTGATGAAGTTGCACTATTGCTGGAGTCAGTTCGCTCATAAGCTCCTTGCTCTTCACGTCCAATTCCTTCCGCCAGCTCTTGACCTCCATCGCGGTTGGACCGCCGAACTTTCGGAACACGTGCCTGGCGAAGGTCTCGCACCTCTCCACCGCCAGCACGGTGTCCTCCACCGCTTTCGTGAATTCCCTCGAGTGCTGGCACTTGCCCAGCACTCGGGTGAGCTCCGTGGACAGAAGACCGCTGAACGCGTCAATGGCGTCCCGCGACAATTTGCTGCACAGCGCCAGCTTGTCGATTCTACGTTTGCAGACGTGTCCGACGGAGCACGCGACCTTGGCTTGGCTCGCGTCGTTCTCCACGGACACGAGGTTCGCGAAGACGGGAAATTTCGGCAGTTCGGTCTCCGTCGGCAGCACGACGTTGTTGTTCTCCCGCGAGAACAGCATCAGCGGCTTGTCGTTGCTGGTGTTGGGATACCCCTTGCCCGGCGTGGACTCCTCGACGAGACTCGTGAGGGGGACCTCCCCGAGGAGGAGAATCTGCGCGTGGGGCATGATCTCGGACTGATCCTGAATGTGTATCTGCAGAGCGACCAGCTTCTCCTCCGGATGCAAAAAGACCTTGATCAAGCTGGCCTTGTGGATGTTGAATATGTGAATGGGTTTGCGGCAAAGCGTGTCCGTGACCTCGCTGAAGAATCGCTCGAAGCTCCAGATCCTCTGCGGATCCACCTCCAGCAGGCCGGCCAACAGCGGCGTCACTATCTTCTTCAGGCCGGTGCTCAACTGGCAGGCCTGCGGCAACTCCCTGCTCCACTCGATCGGCCCGTTCTCCGAGGTCTGCAACCCGGATATCACGCCCGACGCTTTCTTCGTGGTGATGTAGAACATGGTCTCCTTGTTCCTCCGTCCGCCGAACGGTCTGAACGGCAGATTGCCCGTCGCCACGTGGTAGAGGGTCACGCCTATGGACCACAAGTCGACGGTCGCGCCGAAGGTCTTGCCGACGGGCTTCCTCAGCACCGCGCGTTCGTACATATCCGGGTGCAGGTACTCCTCGGTGCCGTACAGCGAAACGAACTGCTGATCCTCCTGCAATTCCCGAGCGGCCCCGAAATCAGTAAGCTTGTATATCGTGCTGCCGTCGTCAGCGATGAATTTCATTATATTGCCTGCGCGAGAAGAAAGAGAGGATGATCGAAGAACTTTAGTTGCAAAACACATACGCGCGTGAAATGTTGAAAATACAAGCGGACCAAGTCGTCTGGTATTGAATAAAATCAATTGGAGCATTGTTTTATTATCGTTTAAGTAAATACAACTGATGTAAAGTGACAGTATTACTTTAACTGTAACAATAAAACTGCGACAACTTTAACCGTGACAATAAATAGAAATAAATCTAATAATTCGATCAAAGCGGATCTTGGTGTCTGATAATGTTTTTGCGAATTTACAAACATTTTTCAGCTGCACGCTAATTGTCAGTTTAAGAAACACACAGCTCTAAAGTGTTAAGTATTTCAGTTTCCGCAACTTTCCGATTGCTGCCCTACATTTACGTACATTATCCCCGGCTGTCTCGTTACCTGGCTTCAGGTCCCGGTGGACCAAATTGTTGTCGCGCAGGTGCTTCATGCCGGCCGACAGGTGTTCCAGCACCAGCAGGAACTCGCTCTCCGCAAGGCCGTACGTGTTCTCCGGGTCGTCGAGGATGTTGAAGAGGCTGCCGCCGGTGCAGAGCTCCATGACGATCACCTTCCCCCGGCCGTCCTGCTCCTCCTCGATCGCCAGCAGCTTGACGATGTTCTCGTGCTTGACCTTCTTCAGCACCTCGAACTCCCTCACCTGCACGTCGTGCGGCCGCATGTGGCTCAGCTGATTGAACGTCTTCACCGCGACCGGCTCCCCGTTGTTCTTGTTGACGCCCTGGAACACCGCGCCGGTCGCGCCCTTGCCGAGCACGCTGGTGGTGCACCAGACGTAGTTGGCGGATCCCCGTAGGAAGGACATGTCGCCCGCGCGTCGATGGGCTTCTCCCTGGGACAGGTCCTCGTCTCTCGCCACTCACTCGGATGTCACTTCGCTCATGGTGGCAGTGGTGGCACGCGATCCACGTGACGTCACAAACGTCACCTCTCGCGTTTCTCGCGTGTCGATGAACGGTACATACAAACGCTCGTCGACGTGTCTCCGTTAGAAAACTGTCGCCCTCCAAGAAGCATCCTCGGCTGAAATATTCCGGGCGAGTGAAGGTGCTGATTTAACGATCGAAAGACGGCATTTAGAGCGATACGTCGCACACAGAGCGAACAAATCGGGACGAACCTAACCTGTGCGACTTAACCTGTAAATTTATTTATTTTTTTTCCGACATTGGCAGCCCTGGATCTCCGGGAGCTTCGCGCTTTTACCGCGCGAGGCGAGGCCTTCGGGGGAGCGGATCCGAAGAGTTGGCCCGTCACTCCCGTTGAAGAGGCTAGAGGAGGAAGGGAGACAGAGTGAGAGACAGAGAGAGGAGAGGAGGAAGAAGAAGAAATCGGCTGAGACAAACCCGGCAAACCGCCTCTTTTCGCCATGGAGCTGATGGAGCTGACGAAACACCTGGATAAGATCAATGTCCCGCGCACCGGCGATACACGACGGCGCGACAGGATATACAAGGACGAGTGCGTTTACTCCTTCGACACGCCAGTAAGATTATCCCTCGTCCTTTGTCCCCCGTTTGCCGACGGCGCACCTCCCCCCGAGCGAGACTCGTCGCGATCGTTATCGGTTGAAAAACAATGTTTCCCCTTTATTTCCTCAGGATGCGGCCACCGGCCTCTACGTCAGCCTCACCACCTTCGTGGGCCTCGGACGAGAGCACGTCGCCCGGTATTACGAGAACACCGGCAATCCCGTCTACCTTCATATTAAACGCATTAAGAAGGAGGTAATTTTTCCCGGCAAAGAATATGATCTCGTTGAAGAGGCCCCGACCTGTCTTTTGAAGGCTGATATTATATAAGTAGATTTTAACGTATGATATAAACAGGAACAAGCCTTCTATAAGTTACAGCGACAATAATTATGCACTAACGTTAAACATTTCCATCATTATCTGACGTGTAATTATGTTTATTCAAACAAATTTTTGTTACTAAAATTAACTGATAGACTAACATTGATAAGAGAGATTTGTTAGATATCGCTAGTCCGGAGCAATAGAGTCATATCTCAAAAAATGTCACTTTTCAGGGGAGCCTTTCAAAGATTGGCAAAAATACCCCCAAGTAGAAAACTGGCATAAGGAATTTATGTATCAACTCCAAATTTGGGATTCATGACTACTTTAACTACTTTAACTCCAATCTTTATGTATCAACTGCCAATCTTTGAAAAGCTCTCCTGAAAAATTACATTTTTTTAGAGAAGGCTATTGCTCTGGACTAGTCATATATATAATTAATTGACTTTACAATTCATCACTTTTCATATTTGACTTTAAAAATCTGTGTAAAATTGTTTAGATTCCATCTGAGGAGCAGGGAGATGGACCAGAAAAGAAAATTACACGACTGGCGATCGGGACAGTTGGTGGATTCATGCCTGATCAGCAGAAATATATCTATGAGGAGACCTATCAGATAGTCATTCTACCTGATTTCCTTACTATTCCTTATCCCTCGAGCAATTTGCCTGAAAAGGTAGGATTCATCTGCAAGTGATTCTGTATAATTAATTATACAGAATCTGTAATTTATACTTAAAATACACAATACTGTTGGCAGGTGGAACAAGCAATTAAGACTGTATTACAAATGGAAGGCGCATGGGCGGTGGCGCAGGTAGAAGCTGTGGCTAACATGTGGGACGGAGAGGTCAGAGCGGAGTCAAAGTGAGTCTCTCGAAAAGTTTACTATGGATTTCATTAATTGGGTATTCTTGATTAATTGGGCTTATTAAATTGTATAATTGCGTCTATTAAATTACGTTGTTCGAATGTCAAAGTTTATTATCGCAAGTATGCTTTATAACATACTGGGCAGCTTCATGTTGCCATTAAATTATCACTCGGAATTCGTAAGCATTTCATTCCGAGGATATAAAACTCTTCTCCTTCAACTCCTTTTAATCGCTGGAATAACGTTTGATTATATTGATAAAAATCTTCGTTATAAACAAGAATGCGAAATTCGTCGAACTTTTCAGACACGCCGCGACCCTGAAGCAGCTGGACAACGGCAAGAGGATCCCGCCGAGTGGTTGGAAGTGCGAGAAGTGCGACCTCACGCAGAATCTCTGGCTTAATCTGACCGACGGCAGCGTGCTCTGCGGTCGTAAGTTCTACGACGGGAGCGGTGGCAACGGTCACGCGGAGGAGCACTATCGTGCAACTCAATATCCGCTGGCCGTGAAGCTGGGCACGATCACGAAGGGCGGTAAGGCCGACGTGTTCTCGTACGACGAGGACGACATGGTGGACGATCCGAATCTGACGGCGCATCTGTCGCACTGGGGCATCAACATCGCGCAGATGGAGAAGACCGACAAGTCGATGATCGAGCTGGAATTGGATCTGAATCAGAAATTCGGCGAGTGGGTGTCCCTCCAGGAAGCGGCCAGCAAACTGACGCCGTTGTACGGCCCCGGCTACATTGGGCTGACCAATCTGGGAAATTCCTGTTACCTGAACAGCGTCATGCAAATGCTGTTCATTATTCCCGATTTCGTCAAGAGGTGCGTAAAAATTCTCGACGAGGCATTTCCGTTTTTTCGCGAATGATTTTTGCTTCGATCATACGACTAATCAGACAAAAAAAAAATTATTGGATATCGACGTAGTCCAGTAATTGCTGGTAAATTTCAGATATGTGGAGAGAGCGCCAACAATATTCGCTAATAATTACAACGACCCGGCGTCGGATATTAATGTTCAAATGTGAGTCATGGTGAACTGCTCGACAAAGTAGTCTATTTATTTTAGTGATAGTCCAAAACTCTGAATTACAATTCGACAATTTCAATTTCTCACCAGGGCGAAATTGGGTCTCGGTTTACTCTCTGGCAAATACTCGGATCAGCCGAGCAAATCATCCGGCACGGACGACGAGTCGCGGCAGGGTATTCCGCCGCGGATGTTTAAGGTCCTGATCGGTCGCGGACACGCCGGCTTCTTCTCGAATCGGCAACAAGATGCTCAGGAGTTTCTCCTTTACCTGATTAATTTACTCAGTGTAACTATTAATTTTGTTTCTGGTCCTTGGTATTCTTCGCGCGTTGTTAAACCTATTAATTAAATTAAAACTGTCGAAGATTTTGATCGGGGAAATTGATTTTTGAACAGCGCAACAATCGACACGAGGTGTGCCCCACGGAGTGCTTTAAATTTAAAGTCGAGGAGAGATACCAGTGCGGTAAATCCAACAAGGTCAAGTACACCAATCGGCCGGAATACATCCTACCACTACCGATACCATTGGAGGCGGCGGTGAACAAGGTGCGTACATTCGAACGCGTTTGATAATCTATTCGAAAAATTATGTTACCGAAATTAATCGTGAAATATATCAAGGACGAGGTAGCTGCATACGAGGCTCAGAAGAAGGAAGCCGAAGCGAAAGGGCAGAAGCTAGATTCCAGTAATCCCGTGAGGCCTCGTATAAAATTGTCGTCGTGCCTCGAGAGTTTCAGTCGCACGGAAATCGTGGAACAGTTCTACAGTTCGGCATTAAACGAGAAGACGATAGCACACAAGTAAGTATCAATTACAATTATCGATTAGCTGACCACCTGGCATTGTACATACTTCATAAATATTCAAAACATCGATTCCGTTTTTTGATCAACAATTATAATCTATTGTATATGTCTCGAATATTTTATTTTATAATCGACCACATTTTATTTAAAAATTGATCAGATCGAATTTTTTAACGAATTCTTTTTGCGCTCTCGTTTCTTCAGGACCACTAGACTAGCCAGCTTCCCGGATTACTTGCTGATCCACCTGAAGAAGTTCACGGTGAAAGAAGACTGGACACCTATCAAGTTGGACGTGGCGGTAGAGATGCCGGACACGGTCGACCTGAGCTTCCTGCGCGGAAACGGTTTGCAGCCCGGCGAGGAACTGCTGCCGGACGGTGCGACGCCGCCGCCGCCCGTCTATGACTCGACTCTCCTGAAGGAATTGACGGACATAGGCTTTCCGCCGAACGCGTGCAAGCGTGCCCTGTACTTCACGGAGAACCGCAGCCTCGAGGACGCGACCAATTGGGTGATGGAGCATATCGCGGATTCCGATTTCGACGAGCCGTTTGTGCCGCCGGGAGTCGACGTTAAGTCTGGTAAATCAACTCGCTCCAGCGTCGAGTCGCAGCCGATTAATCGATTTTTATTTACCTGACTATGATTGATTTCAGGTGAGAATAAGTTTGTGCCAGATCAGGCTGCTTTGGAAATGGTAATGGGCATGGGTTTTTCGCGGGAGCAAGCGACGAAGGCACTCAAGGCGACCAACAACAATCTGGAGCGCGCGGCCGATTGGATTTTCAGCCACCAGGCCGAGCTCGACGCTCCGGAAACGGAGGCCAGCGCGGCGCCAGCAAAGGAGTCGTTCAGAGATGGAAACAGTCGTGAGTTGCAAAATCGTGTATCTTTCAAACTGCAAATTGCCGTAATATTAATATTTCGAGAGAAAATTTACGCTCTTTTTGTAAACACTGTGGACACAATGTACCAAAATAGACAAAAATGAAGCAGTCGTGAGTTACAGAATCGTGTATCTTTCAAACTGTGAATTGCCGTAATATTAATATTCGAGAGAAAATATACTCTCTTTTATAAACAATATAGACGCTATGTATCAAAATGGACAAACACGAGATATGAAAGCAAAGAAAGAGAATTAGAATTAATCCGACAAATTATTATTGAGATTTATGAAACTTTAACTTACATCATCGCGTCGAGAGAAATCGATCGAATGTACTTTTTCGGTTGTTTCATAAAGCGCTTCCGTGTTTTAGGATACAAACTAGTGGGCTTTATATCGCATATGGGCACATCGACGATGGTAGGCCATTACGTTTGTCACTTGCTGAAGGAAGACCGATGGGTGATATTTAATGACGAAAAAGTACGACTTAAGTTATTTTTAGATCTCTCATCTTTTGAGTTCTATCTTAACGGGATTGTCGTTCCTGAAAACTTTGATGCTTCTGTCCTTACACGAATTTATTATTGCAGGTCGCTTTATCGGAAAACCCGCCGAAAGAGTTAGGATACATTTACATGTATCAACGGATCGACTAGTGTAACTGCTGTTTTGTATAAAGATGTTGCTTTTCAAGAATAAAAAAGATACGAATTCTTTTTATTTTACATATTGTGTATATTGAAAGTATATCAAAGTGGTAAATGTGTCAAATGATGCGACCAGTTTTCACGACCCTTAGGGAAAATTAAGGAAACAAATATAAAGAATACAAGACGAAAATTCCACTTTATTTTCTAACAATGGCACATTCCTCAATGTGTTTTAAAGCGCTTCGCGATTATATAATTGCCGATGAAAATTAAGTAAACTCTGTTCTACGAATGAATTAAAAAAAAAAGCAAACTATCTCGTTTTTAATGAATGCTTCATAAATGCATAAGTACCGGAGTAACGAACTCTATGGCAATGTATAACAATTCCTTCGCATGTTAATCGAATTAACGTCGAAATAATACATATTTTGATTAAGCTTGATCGTACGTATATATATATAATATATATATATAAATATATAAGTATATTCCTATACAGTTCCTCTAAATCTAAGTACATGGAAAGATCCAAAACCTTCCTCGGGAAAGTACGCATTTAACTTTCGTTGCATTTTGTGTTAAATTGGCAGGCACTACAGGTGTATACATATATTTTGTCTTGTCGTTTTTGTTTTCCTCATATGTAATATTTGTTTCATATTTATATATCTGTTTTTCTATATAGTCATATATATTTCTTTTGCTCTGTAATATCTACTATTTTTTGTATCTACACGCGCGTTGTAAAAAATCTTGAAAAAATATTTCGATCTGGTAGTAAGTAGAAGGCCACAAGCTTATAGCACAATTGCAGTTAATGAGAAACTGTATAATCATCTGTATAATAACTTAACGGTTTGTCTCTGAGATAGAAAAAGACACGATGGCTTTCCATGAATAATGTTTAAGTTATCTCGCATAAATTACTATCGCATACTGTTATACTCCGGTAAAACTACTCACTTTCGTGGATTTCACATCTCGTCCTCTCTCTCACGTCGCGCATCACAAGCTAACAACATTTATAATACACTATAGAGTATTTACAGAAAAATATGCATCGTGTGCGCAATGTGGAATATATCAGCGTACGGAAAAAGTTTTATCAAGTTTCATACGCTCTTTACGCTATGCACATGATTTGTATATATTAACTTGTACTGCAACATCTCATTTTATATACTCTTGATGCGTATATCTATTATGCAGGCACCATAATTGACGAGATTTCAAACTTCTTAGAGCTTATATTCATCAAAATATTTAAACCGTTTCTGATATTGTCGAAACATGGAACGCGATAAATAACTTTAAAAGTTATAATCCTGCATAACATTATAACGTTGTTGAAGGAAAATTAGTAATTTTTTTAAAACAATGATTAGTCCTGTCAAAATTCTTTTCACGGAAAGATACCTGCGCGTGAATTTCCGGTCATATGCTCGCGATAATATAAGTCAACGTCTATAATAATATATTCATAATATACATAACGAGAGCTCAGGTATCACACTTCATTTGAACGTTTGATTACGCAACAAATATAGACACCAATCGAACTTTCGTTATAGTAAAATTCGTACTGCATTGACACTTGTCACAACGCGATTAATACTGCGTGAAAAACATATGCATAACGATCGATTCAACCGGGGAAAAAAACTTTCAAATGCGAACTCTGAGAGTGCTGGATATTGTCTGTACGGAATCGCTGAACGGCCTCCCGTAAAACAACCGCACAGCGGCGCACGATATATTATTAAAAAAATATATTTCAATATATTTTTTTATAATAGTCTCGAAAAAGTCGTCAGACTTTTATAACTAACCACTGCGGATCTGCTGTCTCGTGTTAGCGCCTCCGTCGATTATGCCCGCCGACGGTGGAATGGCATAGATGATTTGATTACCGTCCTTCTTGAACGTGGGCTCGATCACGTCGGGCATCACTTGAATGTACAACAATCTGCTCTTGTTGCCCAGCATGCACTTGAACTTCACATCCACCGTAACATGTAAGTCAGTGCCACGCAGTCTATTCAAGGAAAAAAAATATATATATATATCTCATTGCCAAACTCTCTCAAATAGGATTGCAATGAAATAAAAAATATACACGCCGGAATTCGCTTGAATCGTCTACCAAAATTTTCGGAGACGAACGTTTTGGAGAGCAAATATAATATTTTTATATATAGACGTTTAAAAAGTGCATATTATTGAACCTTTAAAATATATATTTTCGAAGTGACTTACTGGTAGTATCGGTTGCTCAGTACGCCGACCAGCTCTCCAATTCTGTCGTCTTTGGCGATGATCGACAGAATGAAATCGTTTCCGCGGTTCGAGTGAATCGTGATAAGCTGATCCTTCCCAGGCGAAACGCTTAGGCCGGTAATCTCCGCTATCGGCATGCCCTTCCTCATGCTCTTGAACTTGACGCCGTCGAGCTTGTACACGGTGTGTTCCGTTACCACCAAAACGCGATCCGCCGGCTTGTTGTATCTGCGTTATTTCTCAGATTACCATTTATTGTCTATCACGAAGCCAACGAGATTATCGACAAAATGAGAAACCTGTTGGTTTTCCTAATAAATGCGCTGAACAGGACGGCCTTGAAGTGGTCGGTGTTTCGTAGATTGTTTATCGACGAGTTGAAAATATCGCTTTGAGGATTCTCATCCGGCTTGGACAGGTAGTTTCCTTCCCAGCGACGGTCTTGGCCCCAGTACGATCGCTTCGAGCGCAACATAGCGCCCGCTGCCATCTGTAAGTCAAATTTATGGCATAACCAGATTGCAATTAGTAGAGCTATTGAGCTAATTTTTCTCCCGCATATATTATAATATTATGCAGGATTATAAAAAAATTAAATTTTAAAGTTATTTATCGCGTTCCATGTTTTAATTTTAAATATTTTGATGAGTAAATTCTTAAGATTTGAAATCTCGTCAATTATGGTGCCTGTATAATAGATATACACGCATCAAGAATGTATAAAACGGAAAGAAGTACAAGTTAATATATACAAATCATGTAAAAATTTATTTTAACTGACAAATATTAAATTTTATTAGCTGTTAAGTTGCAGTGACAAAGATAAGACTGCAAAAAAATTGTCACAAGCGCGTACCTTCAGTCGAAGTTGCGGCCAATCCTCCCGAGGAATCGCTCGGAGTACCATCCACGCCCACCATCTCGCGTACATATTCCTCAAGGCGGGCACCACGTGTCTCACGGCAAAATTTTCTCGCGGCCACGGCAAGGTCTTGCCGTAATTTCGCAAAGTCTTGGCGCCCTTGAACGTCCGCTCGAGTTGCTTGATGTAGATGCGTCGTTTGTATCTTCTGTAATGCTCCATCAGCACCAACGCGGCCTTCATCTTCTTGTATTTCTGACGACAGAGGTATCCCCGCCATTGCTTTTGCAAGAGGACCACGATGGCCGGTATTAAGTCGCTGCGCATCTGCGAACGAAATAATTAATTAATAATGAGTACGAATATTGTCGCGTGCGATATATAAAACTCAGATTAGACCAACCTTTTCCAACTCAAACAAAGTCTGCGGCGAGCGAATGAATATCTTCGTGTGTCCGTACTTAACGTCATTCGAGAAACCCTTCTCCTCCAGCAATGTGCGTACGCCATCCTTATCATTGTCGCCTCGGAAGTTCGGCCATGTGTACTGCGATATCATTTTGTACCTGACAACAAAAAATTAAATTTATCGTTATTTCCACAGTAGAAGTAACTTTGCGTTTAGAATACTTATGGTTTGCTGGATCGTTCAAAAAATAATTCGTAAAATATATCTCAAAGTTTCAATGTCTACGATTCTCATTATTTTTACTAGGCGTTATTTTCTTTTATTTACTTTATTCTTAGGCAAATTGAGTAAATTTACTTAATTCCACTGCGTTCTAACAAATTCAGTACCTTTTTAAAAATCTGTCGTATCGCTGTCTGTATACAAAACCAGCCCGTCTCACTAATATGTTCTCCACAAGTCCCAAGTATCTCACTTGATGATTCACTCTCTCGTCATCGAACACGACTGGAGACTTTACCTCGTTCGGTTTTATGCACCTGACGTAAAACGGTTCCTTACTCGCTAGATTCTTCACAAGCGCGATCATAGAGTTGCGGAACAACGTGCCAGCGGTTAAAGGCCTCTTCGTCGTCTAAAAGAAATAATACGTACATTTAATTAAATATCGATCTTCAAATGAATAAAATCTTCAGATGAATAATATGAATCTACATTTAAACGATCATAGTATAGTGTAACGCGTATGTGAGCGATCATCTTTGTACCTTCAAAATATTCTGGGCACCCTCCGGCCACATTTTGCTAATCACGGAATTCTTGCTTTGATAAAGCAGACGTTTGAAGTCTTGGAAGAGCGTGTCTTTGTTCTTATCGAGGAAGCCGTTGATATTGTAAATCACATCGCCGGCGTAATGTTTGATCTTGAATTGTGTTCTGTGCTCCAATTCTTTGTCCATCGGTTTTAATTGTCGAGAGCTATAATGTTTGTGGTCCACTAACTTCTTGTCCATTGCATTGAGAAGCATCTAAGGAGAGATTTTTATTCTTCATAAGACAATCTTCCGACAAAAATAAAAACTTTAGAGCTTAGATCTTCTAGCTACCTCATCGGTGACCTTTCCGACGTTCAGACAAGCCTCGTCCATGATTGCTATCATCCCCTTGTGAGCTTGCTCGACCAAGTCGCAAATGATCTGATTGTTAAAGTATTCAATGTTTTGCCAAGCTATCCCTTCCCTCTGGTACTCCTCTTGCTCTTGCTTCAGAACCAACTCTGCGATAAAATGTTTGCAGTTATAATTGTGAGTTTTATGTTTTTCGATTTTCCAAAATGTTTCTGCGCATATTAAGCTCACCGATAAAAAGCTGTTGCAGCTTTTCGTTGCAATAATTGATGCAAAACTGCTCGAAGCTGTTCATGTCAAAGATTTCGAAGCCGTAAATATCGAGCACGCCGATCAGCGTCCCGTATCTCTTCATGTCGTCGCTGTTATTTACGTTGATCGATCCATTGACTCGCGATACTATCCACGTGAACATACGTTCGTATATAGCCTGAAAGATTCACAAGATCTTTGTCAAATACACACGTCAAATTAGATCATTAGAAAGCTCCGTAAAACAATGAAATATGTCGAGTGCACGCACCTTCGCCAATGCATCTCGGCCGTATTCGGCTTCGATCAATGTATGAGTCTTCTGCATGACTTCTCCACCCGCCGCTATGACTCTCTGCGAGAGAGCAGTACTTAGATCTTTCGAGTTGATGGAGAACAAGTTGGCAGTGTCGTTTAAAGCACTGTTATTCCCGATTATAAGTTTGTCATCCTCCAGCCTGAAGGTGATGTTACCCTAAAAAATAAATCACTCGTGAAATCGCATGTAATTATTAGGGGGAAGGGAGGAGAAGAAAATATATAGCGAATGCGTTAGCATTGAGAGGAGCATTTTATTTTTATGCCAATTGCCTACCAAATGTAAGATACCAGCGACGATGTTCCATACGGTCTGCGTCTCATTCGCGAAAAATCCGAGGGTGGACATGGCGGTGCAAACAGTTTTGTAGTCGCTTCTGTCGGAGGAGGCTGTCTTATTGTTGCTCCCATTGCCGATGAAGTAGTAAGCGGCCGGATCGCGGACCAAGCGCAGCTTATTCAATTCGGTCTCGCTGCAGCCGTTCAGTAGCTAAAAATTAAAAATTCCTGCTATGCCATATTTCGTATTTACGAGCGCGATTCGTGTATTCCTATAGCTTCCAATCGCGCGACGGAAAGTTCCGAGCGTGAAATTAGCGATTGCGGGAGCGAGAAACGGAACCTGATAGAAGCAGTGAAAGTTGCGTTCTCCCTTCTGCTGATAAACCACCCGCGATTTCTCGAGGAGGTAATTGGTCACGTGGCCGCCGATGGGATCTCCCTTGAAGTCGAAATTGATGTCCATGTACTTTCCGAAACGCGACGAGTTGTCATTCCTGTTTGTCTTGGCGTTGCCGAACGCCTCCAGTATCGAGTTCGATTGGATGAGAATGTTCTTCACCCTGAAATGATAAGCAATCATTTTTTATCGCGCCTGGCCACGCTACACCGAATGAAAATATCTCCACTGTCATCTCGAATCGCGGAATCTTGTAAGTTTATATTTTTTACGTTGAGCGTTGTGCGATTGGGTAATATACGGATCGTCTCTAAAAATGTATTAAATTTAATCTTATCGCTTGTAAGGGTTTAGTTCGCGCTTAACCAGATTAGATAGTGAAAGCTGATACTAATTGCCATTCGCCAATGGCAATTCAACGTACGTACCTCTCGATCTCCTGCTGGCCGCTGAGATTGGTCACGGCGGCGATATACTTCATAATGATTTTGCTAGCTTCTGTTTTACCGGAGCCCGATTCGCCACTTATGACTATGCAAGTGTCTCTGCCCTGTTGCTTCATCTCTTTATGCACCGCATCCGCGATCGCGAAAATGTGCGGTGGGTTCTCGAACAGCTCTCTCCCTGGAAGCCATTCGGAAGATAAGATTATCGGAAATAAAATAGTTAAAATAGCGAGCATTTTATTCGTCTTGGCACGAATATTCACTTCAAAATGAAAACTATTGATATTTTTTTTTTTTTCGAGCTCGATCGTACCTTTGTATTTGTTAATCTGGTCCGCATCGTAAATATTGGTGCTCCTGTAAGGATTTACGCTCACGCAGACTTCGCCGATGTACGTGTAGATCTTTCCCCCGTTAAATCTGCAACAATACAACAAAAGTGGAAGATGTATTAAGAAAAGTCTGAGAGAGAGCAGGGTAAAAAATAAAATTAACTAAATGAAACTAAATCAAAGCAAAAAAAGATAGGATTCCCTAAAAAATTTACATTATTGAAATAAAATCTTTCTTTTAATTATCTTATGATAATTTTTAAGAAGATAAAAGATAAATTTTTCATTTAATAATTTTTTTCTTATGATAATCTTGAAGAAGTCGAAGCAACGCAAGTAGTCTCATATTTTGCATGCGAATCGTACGATTCGATGAAGTATCCAGTTTCTTTGGAAAGGAATTAATTACTCATTAGTTTATAAGTTTTACAGTTTTGTGGTAACTATAAACATTCGATATCCACGAAAACGAAACGAAGATAAGGTATTATCGGCCGTACAAGAGATCGGCTTTAAGATTACCGAAGCATAATGAGTCATTTGTCCTTACTTCGACAATTGCGCGCTTCGCCAATGCAAATAACTATTCTTCTATTTGCGGCGAGAAGTTTAAAAAAATATATTTCATATACTGAGAACGTTTTAACGCTCTTCTGATTCTTTATATTCAATTAAAAAAGAAGTGCTGAATCTTGAAAAGTTTAAGAAATATAAATTCAGATAAAAGCACCGTTCGAAATCAATCTGTTCAACTAAATATACAATTAATTATATTAATACCCTATAATTTTTATAGTATTAATTATAGGATAATATACAGTAGAAAAATCTAAATTAGGAGTAATTCTATTTTTTAATCACACACAAATTTTGAGAGCATGATATCAATTATTCTCTTGCTAAAAAATTTAATATTGATTCACTTTCACCATAATTACGTAGTCATTGAACCCAGTTTCGTGGGAATGACGCGAGCATAATCTGAAAACTATGCAACGACTCGAGGATGATGACTCATCGTCGACATGAGCCCCGATAAGGATTACGCGAGTCGCATACATTCGTCGCGCGTATATTCGAGGATACGCGCGTCTTCGAACACTCATTTTCCTGTCGCGCATTTATACCGCTAAACGAGCTTGCCCTCGTGTGCACCTCGCCTCACGTTGGCGTCACGCGGACGAGGTGAGTCGTCGTCTGAAATGATGACATAAATCGGTAAGAATAAAATCTCGACCTACATATCAGCTCAATCGTGGATAATCAGTCTGCATAGAACTTAATTTTAAGGAATAGACTGAACGAGCTTGAATTACAGCTGGAAATATTAAATTAAAGCGATCTCGCAGCGTGCAAAGAGCGAACCGAGACTCTTTCTTTAATTGTTATATCCTTTCTAGATTGCTCCGTAACTATATCAATCGTTTTATCATAATATAGTCATTTGAGACTTCTAATTCCGAATCTTTCTCTCGGTGAAACCATAAAAACTACCAGGAGAAAATAATCACGCGTTTTACATTAAATAATTTCAGAGATGTTGCTCCTGGAAAAAAAAGAAAAGATTCTTTTATTCGCGATACGCTATTTAACGTTAAATAAAAGAAAGACCTTCACGATACGATTTCCTGTATACGTTCTTTTGCTTCTTTCTCGTGAAAGTTGCAGTTTAGCAAACGGGCGGGGTGGAGTGTCAATGGTTTTGAAGCGTGGAGAAAAAAAATAATAGGCGAACCCGTTTGAAATCTAGTTTGGAAATGAGCTTGGTACAGAGTATCGGAATCGATTCGAAAAGGATCTTGTAGCCAACAGTTGTGGCTACAAAATATATATAAAGCCGAGATATTGACGTAAGACAATGCTTAGCGTTTACTTGCATTATAACAATTTGAGAAAGAAAGTCTCATTTTGCTCTTTGCAGCTTTACATAAATCACAGATCTTTCAAACTGTGAAGTCCTCAGTCCGTTCCTTGAAATTAAATATTTTATATTGCACATTTGTGATATGCATATAATTTTTAGCTATTTTTAGCTACAATTACTTAATTTCTCTAAGCTACATCTATCTAATTGGATATGCTCATTTAAGCGACTGATTCCTATATAATTGAGTATCTTTATCCAATTAGATATTTCTGCCTAATTAAACGCGGTTCCTCCGCGCTTAATTCGATTCAATCTAACGTGCAAATCTATTCGAGATTTCGCGTAATATGCCTATAGAGTGCACGATGAATCAGAGCGCGTAAATCCATTTTCACTCATGAATATAATATATATGCCTTCCAAGAAAATATGCGTCATGCATTGCGTATCATTGACCTTCGGCTGCCTGCCGTAAGCGAATTCAAATTTCAATCTAGCGTAGATGTTCCACGAAGTATCAGAGAAAAAATATGCAACTTTTATACAGCATTTCGTAAAATCGGCTTACAACTGTTGCGCGCGAGAGACACAATATATCTTCATAAATATTGAACAACTGAAAGATTTAAAAATATCAAAAAAATTATAGGAATCATTAGTGCCTTAAAATTTGTTTATGCTACGAAGTTGTACAGTTTTTTTAATTTCTTACAATCATAAAGTCATCTACTGAGACAATAGCGGAATACACGGACAGCCGCTTTATCTTAAATTGTGCTATTTGTCTCGGGTCTCCATGCGTGCGCCTTCGCCGCGGCGGATGCACGCGGATGCGTCGCGTGAACACGCGCGCTCTTTATCCGCAAAACGATACACACCCGCGTAACCGTGCAATATAGGTATAACATCGTTACTTCCATCAGAGTTGCTCACAGTGTGATATTCAATTCCGTGCTCCCCGCGAGTGAATCGGAGTAGTTTCCCTGACGTGTCCTCTTTTTTTTTTGCGACGCGAAGCAACGATTTTCTTCGTGATTCGCACGCACGTTTATTTTAGGCGCATCTCAGCCTAGCTGTTATTTACTTATCGAAATTATTCGGACAATTTGACGAAACAGAATAAAAATTTTGTCTGAGAAAACAAACGACTGTATATTAAAAAAAATAACAATTTTGGAAATTCAGTTTAACGAAATACATTTTTCGATATATTCGTTATCTCTACAACTGCACGTCGAATTTTTATTTGGAGGAAGTTCAGCTCTAATTGTAAGCCAGAGAAAGATACCTATGTTTATGACGCGTTCGGCCGAAATACGATTGTTTCAATTAAACAAATTTAATTTTCTAATCGCTATTTTTAATTATATATTGTAGATATAGAATTAAAGTCTGCCAAGATACGATGAAGACGAATTAGCTACGATTAACGCCGATTAACAGCCGGTTGCATCTTATTGCTGTCGTCTAGAATCCGACTGCAGACCGTGGTCTAGTGCCATCGTCGTTATTCACCGTCTATTTCTAGATTACAGTCTCGCCCGTAACGCGGAAAAGTAACATCCGGTTAAGTCATAATTAGTGGGTGCAACTGTCCTGGGAAAAGTTGTCACTGAAATTAATAACGTGAAAACGAAAGTATGCAACGCGAGAAATGCTTGGAAATTACTAATTAAACTGGAGTAAATTATTTCCAACATTTATAGCTTTCAACGTGTCCGCGATATTTTGCTCTCTTCCGAATTGCAAAATATATTCTCCTAATAAATGTGAATTAAAAAAAATCGCATATTTTATTTTATCCTCAGTCTGTTAGTTTCCTTAAAAGAAAAAGTAAAACATATACTTAAAAATGTCATTTGATAGAAAATAATATATCTGTAATGCGTATATCAAAGAAGATGTAATCAAAGTATCATTTATGTTTTCACATTAAAATCAAAATGCGTATTACTAAACATCAAATCATATCAAAGCTGTTCGATTTTTTTCAGTGTTTCCAACTCGTCCTTTAATTCGGAGAATAAAAAATCTAAACAGCTAGAAAAAAATCGAAACAGCTTTGATGTGATTAAAAAGAACAGGCTACTTGTTCACATCTTTTCTTTTTTGTTTCAAATTCTAAACTCACCTTTTAAAATGCCGACATGTAACTAAAAATTGCTCTGCATATTACAACAATTACCTCATCCTTTTAATCTTAAAGGATGAAAATATGTGAAGATGCGGAAATGTTTTTGAAGCTGCTGTAAATTTCGCATGTCCTTCATCGCGTTTTCGGTCGCGACAAACCTTGCGCGCTTGATCCTCGCAAAAACACAGGCTATCGCTGGTCAGAATTAACCGGTCAAGGCTATCCAGTGAACTGGATACGACCTCGACGATGTCTCATCCCCGGTCGTCAACTAGTCAAGTTCAAGATACATTAGGAGCTTAGAAAATTCAAAGCACGTGAAAGATAACAGAGAAAGAGAGAGAGGAAGAGCAACAGCAATTATACTAATTCACTCTCCTATCTCTTATCTCTATACATGAAGTCATTCTAAATATCTTCACTTTCATGATAATAGACAATGTTAACAAGCTTGCAGCTCTCGTTAACTCGAAATAGAGAAATGGAAAATTGATCATATCGATTCAACATCTACCTACAATTGTCCAAAAAGGGTTCGATTTGGAGTACAGGAGAACGCAGAAAGGTGAACGTAAACCCCTTCACTATCTCTAGGCAACCACCTGGCGACGCGCAGGCCACGCCCTCTCGCGGGTGCAGCGGCGAAGCGCGCGGGGCGCTCCCCCCGCGCCCGTCAACCTGTCACAAATCGGCGTACGCGAAGTTTCGGAGCCGAGAGCGACTCCGGTCGTCCGGTACTCCGGAGCAAGGAGGATACGCACCTCGTCTTCAGGTTCTCCACCACGCGATCCACCGTGATCTCGTCCAGCAGCACGAAGTCGCCGATGCCGACGTCGTGGCCCGCCATCTCTCTGTCTCGCTCTCGCGCGCGCGCGACGCTTCACAATCGTAAGTGACCGCACTTTTTTTTTGCCGACCACCACGTGCCGTCACCGCGCGCGACCGATCCGCGCGCACCACTGACGGTTGGCTCCGCTCGCGGCAGTCGCGGCGCGCGTCCGTCCCACCGTCGTCGGGCAACTTCGCTATCACGCGCGCACGGCGAATGCGGTCATCTTCAGCCCTCTGCCGCTTCCCCACCGCGCGGTCGGTCGATGACGGTGCGCGGCAGTACCGTGCGTGACGACAACGCTCCGTGCGATGTCAAAGTTCGATTCACAATCAGAAGCTACATATTAATATAAAATACAGAATGAAAATGATCAATTCATGAACAAAATAATCACGAGCATCGCTCGAGTTCGTCATCGTTTAAAACCTGGTGTCCACAGTGGTAGAAATTTATACAACAATTCCGAAATTTCGAACAGAGAAAAAATTAAAAAATCACATTTGAACAATTCGACCAACTGATCAATGCGATTGATCAATTCTTTCTCCGTTCAGGATTTCAGAACGATTTCTAGCACCGTCGACACAAGGCTCAAGAGTCTGCGACTTTCGCGTATGCGAGAATTTTATTACCTATACTTTTCTCCTTTCTCGCGCCCCTCGCGGTGCGTGCGCCCCTGAGCGACGCGGAAGAGACCGGCGGACGGCGTGGGATGGCGCGTGCGCAATCGCGTACACCCGCGCTTGTCTCACCTTTATTTTTGGAAGCGGCTCGACTCGGCACGGCGCAGCGGCGGCTGGCTGTCATCACAGTGTTGGCGTTGCCCGAACGTGCGTGTGTATATAAGTACGCGCGTCTCCGACCGACCGGATCGCGAGCGATGTCGACGCGAACGACGATGACGACGACGATGTTCAAGCCGAGATTCAGCTCGACGCTGCTGACGAACGGCAGCGGCGAACTCGCCGGCGAGAATGCCGAGACCCGGAAAGCGGCGCCGGCGAGGTTCTGGGCGAGGATACGCCTGGACGAGTGGACGTTCAGCCTGTCGCTCTTCGCGTTCTCGCTCGCCATCGTCCTGGGCAAGCTTTACGTGAATTACGGTAGGTAAACGCGAGTCGCTCTCCAGCCCTCCCCTTCCCCCCTCCCCTCGCTCCTCCTCGGCGATGTTTTCCGATCCTCCGTTTCTCCTCCTCGGAATTCCTTCAAAATCGTCATCACCGTCGTCGCCCCGAAGCTTCTCCACGTTCTTCCACCTCCCTCAGATCGGGACGATGACCAAGCCTAGCTCCGTTCGCGCATCCGCGAATCTCAGTTGAGGTTAGACGCACACAATTTTAAACGCACGCATTTCTGTTTTGATTCTGTTGAAAGGAACGTTCCCAGCGGTCTGAATCGCCTCCACGAGGAGAGAATCGTTGTCGCGCGGAATGACGCGCGATAGATCGTCGCCGGTAGGACATATATGTACGCCGATCCGTCGTACGCGCAAGTTTTTGTTTTGGTTACGTTTTGGAAGCGGGATTGACGACGATGCGAATCCGTCTCGAGAGGAAGCCTGTCTGTACTCTGTGCCGTTGCACGTCGATGTGTACTCTTAGATTTTATTTTATTTTTGTTTTCTTTGTCTCCTGATCCGCACTGCACCGCATGCGTTTCAAGGAGAGAGCGCGAGAGTTAAGCTCCGAAATGAAAACTTTAATCCTGCCCCGTTTATCCGATTTATATTCTGTTGCGTTACATACTTGCGTTGTTTAGATGTGTTTTTTCTCAGTTACGCTTTCTACGTTCACCTTCCTCCTTCTGCGCCTTCGCAACATCGGCATACGTAATTGTTTCCTGAAAAACGAAGGACATATAGAAATTGGTAGAAACGCGTGGCTGAAAAAAGCAGATCTAACATATTTCGACGATAATTTGTTCAGGCGATCGTTCATCGAGTTGGTCCTAATTATTATTTATTATCAAATCTGTCTACTTCTCGAGTTGTTTATGTGATAACCGCTGATGCTTTCTGACAAATTATGTAATATTAACTTTATTAATGCTATAAGGCGCAAGAATATCTCTAACATCGTTTTCAAAAAAGTCACTCGTTCATTTGTATTAATTCGTTTATATTGGCTTTACAAATTGTATACTGCTATGAGTCAGTGTCCCACTTTTACGATTCCCGTTGCTGTTCTGATTTCAATGAGCGAATTATTTCTCACAAAAATATCGAGCTTTGTTTCCTGAAAGATGAAAACGCGCAGGCGAAAGAAACAAATCTTATTTATTATATCTCGATAGTAATTGTATAGACAGCCATTCGTTAAGTTTCTGTGCGTTCTAATTATTGTTTATTATCGATGAAGTATCTGTATTTATTGTATTATTTATGTTATCGTGATGCTTCCTGTAAGACAAGAGTCTAACACGGCCCGAAAAGTCACTCTTGTTCGCTTGTATTAATTTCGCAAATTGTAATCGCTGTGGATCAGCGTTCCATTCTCTTAGGACGCCTTAGAAAACCGGACGATTCCCGTCGCTATTCTGATTTCAATAAACGAATTATTCCTTCTCGAAAATTAACGAGCATTAATCCCGTGAGCTTTATTCCTCTTAAAAAAAAAAAAAAAACATTGATCGTGCATTGATATTGTTATACAAGAAGCGAAGAGATCGCACAACGATCACGTCCCTGCGTCGCTCCTCTTTCCAAAGTTTTCGAATTTAAACCGCGCGATGCCCACGAACTCGCGTTAAAACGCATGTCGCCGCGCATGTAGCCTGCATTCCTCGGTTATATTTTTAACGGGACGCGCGCATGGCCCATTTCTATTACGAGATATATACATCTTTCCGCGGGCGACGAGCGAGAGTCCTTCGAAATTCTTTCCAGCCTCCTCGCTCGCGTACGCGCAACGTTTATTATGCGAGATCTGCGTCGCCCATGACCGAATTGTCGCGTCAAGGTCGCGTCATTGCTCGAAAAGTACATGACTGACGAGAGTCGCAAAAAAAAAAGAAAAAACAGCTAGAGAAAAACAACACGAGAGAGAGAGAGAGAGAACTTTTTCCTTTATTTATCTTATCTTTTATCTTATCACTTTTAATTAAATTACTTTTACGTAAGGTAAACTTGGAAGATTACTCGCGTTAGGGTAATCTTAATACAACATATAATATCGTCTCTTAATTAGAATGTAATAATTTTTGGATAATTAAAAATAGATGTTTTCTCTCTCTCTCGTCATAAATTAATATATTCTATATCTATGTTGCATGCGTCAGAAGAGAGTTGAATGACTTATTTAGGACAAGATAGAAGATTACTCATTAGAATATAACAGCATTCTGATATTTAGAATGAAAATTTATTTAAAATATTTTCTTTTCTCTAAGAATTACATAATGTAATCTATAAATTTTTCTCTATAACTCTCTCTCTTTCTCTTCCTCTCTCAATGTTCTCTCTCTTTCTCTCTCTCTCTTTTGTTACAAATTAATATATTTTTTATCAACGTTGCATGTCAGAAAAGAGTTGAATGACTTATTTAGAACAAGATAAGAGATTACTCATTAGAATATATAAGAGCATTCTATTATTTAGAATGAAACATTTTTTTAAATATTTTCTTTTTTCTAAGAATTACATAAAGTAATCTATAAATTTTTCTCTATTTTACTCTCTCTTTCTCTTCCTTTCGAAAGATTTATGTGGCTGATATGAGTTTCTCATGCTCTGCCCTTAGGAAAGCCTTTGTCATGGCAAATTGGCGATCGATACTCATTGCCGTCGGTGGCAACGTTTACGCAAATGTACGAAACGATACCGAGTATGTCCATTTTACCGAAATTCGATATGAAACAATTGCCGGCGGATAGCGGGAGGCTCTTGAGTGCCAGTAATCAGTACGCCGCTGATATGCTGATCACAATTTACGGGAGATACGGATGGCTGTTGAAAGCGGCGATGAGCGGACTTGTGATAACAGGTTTCACCTGGTTCATCCTTTACAAGGACAGCAGTATACCCGGTGTTAATCCACCGTCTCCTTTCAGCCCTTCCAGACAAAGGTAAAGTTTTTGTTTTCTATTTAATTATAGTATATATTTAGTTACGGTAATTTCACATATCTGGTTTTAGGTGTCGTACTCGTAAATTGAATGCATTTTTTTATTGTATGATGTATAGTTGATAAGAACGTATAAAAGTCAAAAAAATTTTTATATTTATTTATAACACGTATGAAAGTCTACAAAAATTACTATTTATTTCTAAAAAATATATCAATCTAATAAAAATATATTTTATATTGAGCAATTATGATATATTTATTAGAACGTAAGATAATCTGTGATATTGAGCAATTATGATATATTTATTAGAACGTAAGATAATCTGTGATATTTATGTCGTCTGAAAAATATCTGCGATTATGACGCGATTTAAATCTGTTAATGCCGCTTATTTCAGGATACATGGCAGCTCGAGGATACAGCTGAATTATTTAGTCGGCGTGCTAAATGGGGTATTATTTTTCGTTTACATGTGTCTTTAACGCGATGAAGACGTCGCCCGCGATTTTTCGAAAGATATTTCTATTTTTTTTTCTTGTTTATAGTATTATTTATTTTACTAATTTATGTTGTCGTCGGTAGCACGTTTATTTATGGCTCTCACGAAAGAGAGGATACTAATGACGAAGTAGCCTTAGCGTTTTGTAGCTTTTGTCGATTAACATAATGCGATGTTTACGCAACGTTTTCGTAAGTACCTTTGTCTATGAGCGATAATCAAATATCGCGAAAATGCGTTTAGGAATGCGTTTTCTAAAATGGTGAAGAAGCTTTGAACGATGTATTATTAGCACGCAAGAGAACTTGTTCTACTTCTAGTATACGTATACTAGTAGTCGTTACTAACGGCAAAACGTGTAGAAAGTATTGAAATGAAGTGCGGTTGCGCGCGGTATGCAACGACCAAAAATGTCAGAGTACAAAACAGAGATCGTTGTTCCATACCCTCTTCTCCAAAAATTTTGCATAGTTATATTGATGGCTACTGTTTAAGACTGATCGATTATCTGATGAAGGGGCATATATTTATTGATAGGCTAGATTAAGTGTTGTGAAGTACAATTTGTACGCAGAATACATATATATATATTTACATATATTTTTTGCATGCTTATATAAGAAGAAATATAAATGGCAGAAAAGCGTGAAGCTAAAATTATATTTAATATTTAACGCTCTCTCTGAATGTTACATCGCATTATTAAGAAAAAAAACGGTTGAAGTTTCTTATTAGACAGCTAAGTGTATTGCGATGAAAAACGCGCCTCTGAGCGCACGCATTAGCATATGTTTAAATTATACATTTAAATGATCTCGGCAAACAACGTTATATTTAAACAGCGAGCAGCACGGCTCCGATCTCAAGCTCGGTATTACGACTTTTAATTGCGAACGTTTATAAAAATTTATAAGTACCCGTGCGTCGTGGCTCGTACAATAATGAGATGGAAAACGCGGTCAATCCTTTTTAATTGTTACCGCGAGGCAACGGTGAGATTCGTAAGCTTTATTATGAAATATAAAAAGAATTTCTCCAATTCTAAACAAAATGTTTCTGACTGAGTTGTAAAACAATAAATTTTCGTGAACACTTGTGAAAGTTACGAAACATTTTACGAACATTGGACATTGGAGAGCGCGAGAAATGATAGTTATATATATATATATACACGTTTTAAAGAAACATGCGAGCTAGAGTAAGATGATTAATCCGGAAGTTTAGGCGATAAGAGCATGATCGTTCTTTCCGGTCGTCGCAGAAATGATTTTTCAGAAATACGCTGTAAAGGAATATTTTATTTTTTAAACGACTAACGTAAGACAGGATTGAAAGGAAGGAAAACAAAAGGAGTATTATTTATAGTGTGTAAGCTGCGCCTTAATTGTTAATATTATCGCTGTATGTACACGCACACGATGTGCGTTCTCTCCTGCGCGGAGAAAAGCGGAGCGCCGTTCCAATAAACATTGAATTTACATTCGCAAAAGTAATCGCGCGTTGCGCGATCCCTTTTTTCTCTCTCTCTCCCCAGTTCGAACGTCCCGCCCGACGACGGCGACACGGTCGCGCACGCACGGTAGTAGTGTAGTACACGCGGCGCGGTTGACGCAATCGCGACTGATTCACGCGAGGCGAGGGGTTTGCGCAAGACGGCGAAACGGTCAGCATCGTGTGTGTGCGTGTGCGTGTGTGTATCGTGCCGTGCGCGAGCCTTGGCAAGCTTGTGAGCGAGTCCTCCGGTTGCCCCGTCCGCCGAACTTTTCCGTCGACCTTTCCCATTTCATCGTTTCCTCCTTCGGATCTCCTCGTTCCACGAGATGGCAAGCGAGACGCGCCCGCCCGCCGACGAGGTCGCGAAAGCGGCGGATCATCAGGTCATCTGCAAGATCCACAATCAGGACGACTTCGGCCGGATCACCAGGGGGATCAAGGTTGCGCGGTGCATGCAATCGCCGTCCTCCTACGGTGAGCCGCGAACCCGGTGTCTCGCCGAGAATCGAGACGGAAGGAACCCCGAAACTAGGATGTGTTTATTTTCATCGCTTGATTAGATTTTTTTTTTTTTTGGCACGGGTTTCAGGGTGACGAACGTTTGCGCGGATTAGGAGCAGAAGGTGTAGCTAGAACGGATGAATCACATATGTGACATTTGACAAGGCACGAAGGACACCGAGAGCGAGCTTGTATCCCGGAGCAGCGTAATTGTTTCGGGAGAAACGATTACGCTTGTCGGAACGCGAGATTTCGATGCTTTTAGCGGACCCGGTCGATTCAAAGGCTTTTGGGGGGGCAGAGTGGAGGAATTGATGTGCACGTCGGAGCGTAGCCTAAAATGTTTACGTCCCCCGACTGTGTTTACATTTTATTAAAAATTCGAATTCGGAGGATGTTATTTAACATATGTTACCGTGATAAGATTATGCGACATAATCGGGATTATTTTCCTCCACATTATCGTTCTGTATCCCAGAATTTACAATTATATTTAAAATGTATAATATGCGATGCTAATGTCGATGTGTTGGAGGTTAGAATATTATAAGGATTACCAATGAGTATACTTTGCTTTTACTTTGCTTTTCTGTAATGTAATCAGTTGGATCTGATATTAATCACGAAATTAATGGTCTTTTTGGACTGTAGAGAGAGATAAAGTTTAATTATAAGGACAATTGAGGGAAGTTGAATATTTTTTTAATGAGATTATTCTTAAAAATCCACAGGATTGTCTTTAATTTCTCAATACGCGTGAGAAAATCACAGGAGATATCTGTGTGTCAACAATTTGTCAACGTTCTATGTTTCTCTGCTTTATAGTGCCTGACAGCGAGCAGATATTGAGCGAGCTGGTGGTGTCCGACTCCTTATGTTGTTCCTACTGCAACGCCGAGTTCGAGGACAAGGTGCAGCAGCGGCTCCACTACAAGCTGGATTGGCATCGTTACAATCTCAAGCAACATCTGAACGGCCTGAAGTCAATTAGCGAGGACAGTTTCAATAGGTTGGCCGGCGAAGGTACAGTCTGAGATGAAGTACACCGGCGACGGTTGCGGAAACAGTTAGGCATGTGGAAATTTTGTAGGCGACATGTCTAGCCTGTCCGGTAGCGAGGCAGAGTCCGAGAACGAGGACGATGCTGGTACTTCGGAGACTGGGGCCTCGTCTAACGAGCAAGCCAAGCCGAGCGAGCCGTCAAGTAAGACTGGACTTGGCAGGTCCAGAAAGACGTCAGAAAGACGCGCCAGGGCAATCGAGTCGGATATCTCGGACACGGAGTACAACGAGGAAGTGTCCAAGGAACGGAAGCTGCAGATCGTCGCGAGCCGTCACACCAAGGTGTTTTTCGAGAACGAGGACGGCGATATATTCAGCATCTACCGGTGTCTGCTGCATCATAAGAAGGTATGCTTGGTATCGTTAGCTCGATTGTCGTCAGTTAGGGAGGCGCAAATATCTATGCGCTATTATCGTTACACGGATGCTTGCAAAAGATACAGAATGACAGATATATATAATTGCGCACGGAATATTATCTTGAAACTTGCTCTGTACTTTGTTAGAGTCACTTGTGGCGCGTGCTTTCTGTTGTTGCCAGATCGGGAGATATGCAATTACGTTTTAGGATATTCCCGAAAAAGACACCGACATGATCACTCAGGCGCTGGGCAGCGGCAGAAAGACCAAGTGGACGGTCATCATGGTCGGTGGTGGACACTTCGCCGCGGCCGTATTTCAGGGTACGCATCTTAGAAAATATATTCCCGTTGCGCACATTCGTCTTGCATGTACATCACTTTTATCTCGCAGATGGTGAGCCTCTCGTGCACAAGACTTTCCACTCCTACACCGTGCGGGCAAAGCAGGGCTTCGCTCAGAATTCTCGCACGAACGGTAATCACGCGAAAAGCGCTGGTGCCAGTTTGCGAAGGTATAACGAGGCGTCGCTTATTCAGGTACATACTCTTTGCAACAACTGTAGAGATCAGCGTTTTACGAGTTTAACGGCCAGCGCAATTAAATTTGACAAATTGCAAAGCTAACGTGACGACGTCTTCTAGCACGTACAAGAGATACTGGAGTCATGGTCGATGCACATCAATAATTCATCGGCCATTTTGTACCGAGCGGTCGGTCCGCACAATCGCACGGTGCTCTTCGGTGGCAAGAATCCACCCTTAGACAAGAACGATTTTAGAATAAGACCACTGCCATTCCCTACTCGCAGAGCGACATTTCGAGAAGTCAAGAGGGTATATGATATTCTGAGCACTATGGAGATTTATGGTAAATAGTTGTTCGCACAGTCTAAATTTCGTTCGTATTCAATTCATGCCGATCATTTTTGTAATGCCATATTTAGGCTCCGCGGCGGATTTCACGGACTGTTTCCCCAACTCTCCGCGACAGCCCGTGCGTAAGAAGGTTTCGAAACCGGAGATCATGAGCGAGATACCTGAGGGAGAAGTTGCTACCGAGTGTAATCCTAACGCCAGTAGTAACGGTAATCCACAGGAGAACGATAAAATTAAGGCACTTACGCAAACTACCCCGGAGAAGCAACACCGGAATTCTCGTCCGCATATAGATAGAGCGAAACCGAGGAAAAGTCCGAATCGGCCACTGCCAGGTATATATCTTAATATAAAACATGAGTAATTATTAGTCTTAAAATACCCAATTTTTTAGATAGCTGTGATTATTGTTAAAAATAATATTTGTATAATTATATTTGTTTTATGTTTATTTTACAGATATTATTGTTAGATTAGCTCAATCGTCCTCCGAGTCCGAAATGGATGCGAACTTTCCACTGGGCATCCCTTTAATTGAGAAAGATTTTGAGGTTTCATTTAGGGAGAATTTACAAGCGTTTCAAGATACTGTGCCGAGATACATGAAGAACAAGAAAGCTCATCGACAGAAGAAGAAAGTGAAGAAGGACAGTAAGTGTCTCATTTTTTCAAAGTAGACCATTCCATATTAAAGTTGTAATCTTTTTGCAAAATTTAACGTGAGAGAATGTATATCCACATTGTTTAAATTATACAATATAAAGATTTTTTTTCAATTAAAATTAAGAGTAAGTGAAAAAATGTATTAATGTACATTTTGTTTTAACTAGTACATAACAGGCGCGCGCTTCGCGCACGCTGCGTATTAAATCCCATACATCTTCTAATAACATTTATATCAATTTACATTTTAATTAAACAAATGTTAACAATTTTTGATAAAAAATAAATTTAAAAAAAAATGACGCTTTGCGCGCGGTGCGTATTAAACTCCATACATCGTCCAATAACATTTATACCAAATTACATTTTAATTAAACAAATTTTAACAATTTTCAATACAATGATGTTTTAATCGGCCATATTGAATCGGCCATTTTTAAATAAAATCACGATTTTTTAGAAAATAGCCACATAATAGCCAACGCAGGTAACACGGCAATTTTAAGATAGGATGTTTTATGTTATATTATTTTCAGCTCAGATGAACAATGAAGTGCTGTCAGATGCCAAGACTAAATTATGGACTGCCTGTAAGCGAGGCGATAACGATCTGTTATCGTCAATCATTGATAATTTGCTAGCCAAAATTAAAGAGTGCGAGGAGGAGCAGAACAAGAAAGATATCACGGACAGTTGCACTACGTCCAATAGCACTCTCGTGAACACGGATGACGTGGCGAAATTGGTTAACGATACCAACGAGGATGGCAACACAATGTTGCATTTGGCGGCGCTCGGTGGACACTACGAGCAAGTATGGTGCGTGCGGCATTATTTATTACAGGATAAATTTTATAATAAATTTTTACGAAATCTTGGCTGTCACGTAATTCGATTTGTCGACAGGTTGCTATTGGAAATCGGATCTGATCCTTGCAATAAAAATAAAAAGCTGCAGACGCCTTATGCCGCTGCGAACGATAAGAAAACTAGAAATGCGTTTAGAAGATTTATGGAGGCTAACCCGGACAAGTTCAACTATCAAAAGGTATTATTCACAGGCAAAACGTTACATTAATATATTTACTTGGAAAGTACTTTTATTATAAACTTCTACATACGTTTTTAATGTTTGATAGTCTCAAATACCTGGGCCGCTCTCTGACGAGATAGAACAAGCAGAGACGGAAAAGAAAAGACAGCAGCGGAAGTTGAAACGCTTCAAGGAGAAGGTTAAGAGGAAGGAATTCGAGTTGAAGAAGCAGGAGGAAAATGAGAAGCAGAAATTCCTTAATCTCAGCGATAAAGAAAAGGTTAATCGCATTATTACACGAAGTGTCGAAAGTACATTTCGTTACTAACTTGATTTTCTTCTTTTACTCAGCCCTGGTTTTAATATTTTTTTCTTTCTCTTCATCTTGTAGAGAGCTTTAGTCACGCAGAATCGGATGTTGAGCGAAGGATACACCGTGGTGTCACGATGCTTCCAATGCGCCATCGACATGACTGACAAGGTGCCTTTCGAGTACAACGCCAATCGTTTCTGCTCAATGCCGTGTCTCAAAGAGCACCGTCTTCACAATAAATATGTTATCTGATGGTGCATCATGTCTAGCTAGGAAAACTTTTACACGCAATTACTTATTCGCGATTCCGATCGCGCTTACGAGAGGCTGCATTTAAAGACGTGTTACTGTACATGGATAACCATTCGTACCAAGTTATACGGCTTCTTGCGGAATTTGTCATGTAATAATCTGAATGTAGAATGGAATTTTCTATTGGTTCGACGTGGTTTTTCTTTGGAATATTCTTTTATAATAAAGCAATGGTAATTTTCAGAAAGTTATTAAGGACGGGAGAATCTCTCGATCGATTTTAAGAAAGACGAAGGCACGGAACCGTAAAAGTATATAATGTATAAAATTTGACGAACGTGTACGAAGCAATACGTAAAATGATAACGATACGATCGAAGGATTTGAAGAATTCTTTCGGGCTATAACAATGGATTATATATTTTTATCTATATATAATCGGATGTACACAGAGGGCACGTTTTTTTTCCAAGGTATAATGTTTTATGTTATGCATATTTCGACTAATATTTGACATCTTTACTGGTGTATTAAATGCCGTACATATAGTATATACGAGTAAAATGACGTACTGCTAAATAATAACTATTCAACATTCACATATACATTCGCGTTCATATCGGAATATCCGCGGAAAGATTACGCGTGTGTATATATATATATATATATATATATATATATATATACATATATATATATATACAGGGTGCTTAAAAAAACTATCTTTAATATTTTTCTTGAAATAGGAGGTAAAATAGACGCGTTGGTCAAAAATCAGAAAAAATTTACTTGAAAATAACATCAATAATTAAAAAAATAGATTTTTTCAATTTTTTTTTTGTATATCATATGAATAAGAAAACTCATAAGATTTAACATATTAAAATTTTTTTAGCTATTTGCAAATAATGTGCAACAAGCAAGTTTTATTAAATATAAAAATTAGATTAAATTAGAAACTTTGAGATATTAATAAAATCATTTAAAAATAAATGTTTTATAGATTATCAATTAATATTTAATAATTGATTTAAAAATGTTAAAATAGCCTAACCACTTGGATAAAAAAAATCAAACAAATATTAGAAGAATATTCTGTCCTCTTAATTATTAATTAAATCTTTGCAGAGGCGATTCGTCAAAGGCACCCTGTATATATCCGATTACTCGTAAACCGTGTTAATGACTAGTATCATCAAGAACAAACATTCGCCCGCGCGCGCGTTCGTGTTACCTTAAATAAATTGATTTCGCGGTTAACAGTATTACGATGGAATCGCGGAGATCCGGCATGGATTTTGCAAGCGAAAAATACCTTCCCGACGAGAAATGAAGAGTTTGTATGTTCATGAACATCAAACGGTCCCACAGATTCTGTAACGAGGCAACGGTCGACATCCAGCAGTATATTATAACTCACCATCGATATATGTACAAGGTAACTTGTCTTTACACACTTAGTTCCTACAAGCTTGATAAAAATAATGCACAAAATATACATTATTTTGTGCAGAACGATCGAACGGTCTCACGCGATTGTTCGGAAATTCGATCGCACGTGAATCGAGAAAACCCGAAATCCAACGATCTATACGTATCGTGCGAGACTTTGACGGGAATGAGAAGAAAGTTTTTCGATATCGCGTGTCTCTTTCGATCGTCCTATATATATATATATATATCCTTCCTGGCTTCCCTCTTGGACATTCGAGATATATACAAAGCAGAAATCATTTCGGATTCGAGAAAGTGTCATTTAGGCTGAACGCATGCGGAGTATCGCGTGTATCGTACGTGGTCCTCTCTGTTCGTGCAAAAATAGGTGTTCCGCATTCGGTTTTTTTTACTTCCGGTTCATCTCGCCGGACGAGACGTCGAGTGCAGCGTATTTAAGTACAAAATATTCGAGATTTTTGTTCGAGATCATCTTTGTCTTCTTTGCGTCGATCTACCTCCGCGCCTATCTCGATCGCGGTACACGGTCTGACTTATGCTACTCTCGTTTCACTGATTCGAGATACATGCACAGTGTGCTCTCTTTTCAGTCCCTTATAACATAGCTGTGTAAATTTAATCTGGTAGATTCTCGTCGTTCAAGTATTTCATACAGCGATAGTGTCACGATTCGAGATTTCTCGTTAAGATTTCGCATCCTTATTTATAGCTGGAAATTCTCAAATCGAAATTTCAAGTTATCAGCCCGTTATTAACGTATATAATAACGGAAAATTTTTATGTGTTGAACACATTTGTTAAATAATTAATCATTCAAACAAATTGAATGCAATACTTGATTAATCGTTCTAATTGACATACTTAATTGTGAAAATAACAATGGCCAGTATATTAGTAATTTGCGATGTCGGTTCGAAATTTTAAAGGAATCGTTTGACCGCACCGATTATTTTTGTTATTAATATAAATTTTTACAACGACGTGCAATTAAAATTTTTTTTTAAGTAATAGAAAGTCTACAGGAAATGATCGTATATTTTCCGAGACGCATTTGTCAGAATAATCGAGCTCCCTTTGTTTCCTCGAGATCGATCGTGCTAAAATCGTGCGGCTTAGCGATAGCGATCAGAGCGATCAAATCCGACGAAGCGGTGATGACATCATGATGTGAAATCACCTCCCTTCGTTTATATCGACGTGGAATCGTCCGTGTCGGTGTCGTCGCCGTAGAGACTCCGGCCGTCGGTCTTCGTCCATGTCGTCGCGGTGGTCTCCACGCTGACCTCGTATCTGTTCTCCTGCTGGGCGTTGTTGGACGGTACGATCCTCACGTAGGTTTCCCTCACGCCACCCTTCTGCTCCGTGACGTCCGTCGCTGCGTTCCTCTCCTCGCAGCTGGCGGACTTGGAGCGGGCCTTCTCCTCTGGTTTCTTCGTCACCGACTCGATCGACTCCAGGGAGCTCTTCCTGCGGCTGCTCCTGCGATTCGTCCTGACGATGCCGGTGGTCTGCTCCTTGCCGGTCTGCTCCTTGCCGGTGGTGGAGGGCTTTCTGTCCACCTTCGGAGAATTCTCGTTCTCCAGATACCGCCGGACCCACTTGGGCGTCTCGCTCGAATACGCCTGCGCCTTCTTCGCGTACTTGCCGGGCGTGCTCGGCAAGATCATCGGTATCTCCGTCTCGATCACCGTCGTGATCACCTGCTCGTTCTCGTCGAAGTTACTCTCGAGGAACTTGCGCTTCGGCGTGCCGCCCACGCTCAGCTTGCCGAGCGTCGAGCCGCTACCGCTCTCGTCGCTACCGGGCGTCTCGTACGTGTACGAATAATGCCGCTGGATGTGCTTCGGCTCCTTATCTTGCTGCTGCTGCTGCTGCTGCTGTTGTTCCTGTTCCCTGGCTTCCCGCTCCTTGCTATCGCTCGTCTCCTGGTTCCGTCGATTCTCCTCCTTCTCGATCCTCTTCAGCTTCTCGAGCGCGTCGTCGATCGAGTACCGCGGCGATTTTCTGCTACCGGTGCCGAACTCCGGCAGCTTCACCGGCGACAACAGCGACTGCCTCAGATTGCCGGCGATGCTGTGCCGCTGCCGGGCAGGCGGGTCCAGCAGCCGGCGCAGGCTCGAGTTTCTGATCTCCGGCACCGACATTCGCTCCCGGATCGGAATCGGCGGTGGTTTACCGCCGCGCCCCAACTTGCCGAACGAGATGATTTCCGCTTTGGGCGGCGACGGCGACGTCGATATCTTCCTGCCCGCGAACGGGAAGTCCGGCGCGAGGAATCGTCTCTCGCCGGGCGGGAAGATCGGCGACGTGCTCGCGACGATCACGCTCTGCAGACCCTCGCAGGTGGGACTCTTCAGTTTGTCAGACGTAATCCCCATGAGCTCCTCGGTCTTCATCTGCTGATGCTCGAAAATCGGCGAGCTGGCGATCGGCAGCAGCCGCGACTTGCAGCTGTCCTGACTGTCCAAGCTGAAGCGCTGCTTTTGCAACTGGCTGTCCAGGCTGAAGCGTTGCTTGGGCGTGCCGGCCATCAGCCGCAGATCGTTCTGCGTCTCCAGCTCCGGTATCGAGAACCGATCGCGATTGAACTTCACCTGCGCGGCATTGTTGTCCTTGATGTTTCGATACTTGGCGCCGATGTCCAGCTGCGACAGGCGGTCGCGCTGGCTCGCCTGCAGGACGGCAGGCCCGAATCTCTTGTGCTTGAGGGGGTAGGGTGGCGGCGAGGACGAGTGTATGCCGATACCGCCGCTGCTGAGACACGGCTGGGAGAGCCGTTGCTGCGTCCGACCGGGATAGTAGTCGCCGGTGACGAGGGTGGGCTGCGACAGCCGCTCGCGCTTATCGTGCCGCAGGGCGAACCGGCGCACATCTGGCTGCGACAGGCGCGACGAGCTCCGTTCCATCGTCAGGCTGCCACGGGGGCTTCCGCTGCCGCCCAGGGCGTGCACGTTCGGCGTCGACAGTCTCTCCTCCTCGTTGATGCTGTTGTCGCCTGAGGTGGCACGTAGACTCGTGTAGGACAGGCGGCCACCGCCGCTGCCGCGGTTCATGCCGACGAAGTTAAACGAATTGATGCCGCTCAGGCTGGAGTTGAGGGTCGGCTGCGACATGCGGATGCGACGATCCGGCGAGCCGCCCGATCGCCGATCGTACGAGATCAGCAGGGTCGGCAGGTTCGGCTGCGAGTAACGGCTGCGCTGACTCGCGGGCGAATAACTCGGCGGGCAGGGGGTTGTCGAACGGGTACACTCGTAGGTGCCCGAGTCCTGGGACTCGATGCTCGACTGCGACTGCGGCGGCACCTTGACGGGGGTGATGTGCAGATTCGGATGGGACAGCCGGTTCTTACGACCTTGGCCCGGTCGCTTCAGATGGTCGATCAGATTCGGCTGGGACAACCGGACGATGCATGGATTCGGGCGCCGGTTCAGGTACCAGAGGTCCCGACGAGAGTACGGCTCGCATCAGAGGGTGCCCTCCTCACGCAGGCGCCGCATGAAGACCGGTCGTACGTCCTCGAAGAACGACGGCAGGTCGAGCTCGGCGGCGCGCGCGATACCGCCGTCCTTGCATTCCAACCAATACGTGTCCATGAGGCCCTTGCCCTGAAAGAATAGCAACCGAAAATGGAACTCGCACCTGAAGAGCAAGATCATTCAAAACAGCAAAGAAAATTAATTATTTATTAATTAAAATTTTATCTCGACATTCTTAGGACGATGTGTACATATGCAATAAAAACATGAGAAGAGGATTGTTAGATGGGCTGAAGGAAAATCAATATGTTATTATA